CGTCAAATCCTAAGATCATGGTTAAGTACTACATACACAAACTGTACAAGCAAGTAAATAATCTGATCTATTTCCAATCGTAACATATATTTACAGTTAAGTAGTTACCCTTATTTAACCAAAAAAAAAGTAGTCAACCTTCGATTTATTCAGGGTATTTTAATAATTTATAAACTAAGAAAAGTTAGCTTACAAAATTTTCAAAATTTGGGTTGCTTTTCAAAATATATGAGGTTTTAGAAATATCTTTACAAAATTTCTCTCTATTAGTCTTCTTAGTTTGTGTTGATACATCTTATGTTACATATATTTTTAACAAATTACAAGAATTAACTTCTTTTTTTTCTTAATGAAAATAGTAAAGTAGATGAGATATGCGAATAAAAACCATTCAAATATTACAATTGTATGATTTCGTTTATAACTTGTAATCATTCAAAAATTTGACAATTCCAAATGATTTCTTTTGAGTTAATTAAACTCCTTTAAGAAACCAGAGTGTTTGAAAACATTAGCTCAAAAGACTGTCTCTGACACAGTTTAATTAAGAACAAGTGAGTAGATTAAGACATTAGCTCAAAGAAAATATTCAAGTAAATTTCATTTACATCTAACATCAGATTAGCTCAGTCAAGAGAGAAGGATAAGAGAGTTCCATTGTTTTTAGTGTACATGTTCAACGCCTGTTAGAACGAAATTTTAGTAAATTTCGGAAATGAATCATGCGAAATGTGGCCATAACTGCAACAGTTTACATGAACAATGACCTTTTCCTTTACCAAATCAAGAAGGCTGACAAAAGTGTACGTATAAACTCATGTTCATGTATACACACCCTTTTTGTGTTTTGTTTTTTGTTATTCGCTTTAAAATGCTTTGGAGAACTTCTTGAATTTCTCATCTGTTGTTTGTGATATCCTAGAGTGGTATTATAATAAGCTGTATATTACCTATTATAATTTATAAACTGAGATGATTTTAAGAAAATATCGGATGAGAATTTATATTTACCTTTAACTAATATTGCGATAATATTGATCCAACACGAATTAACCAAATAATAAGATGGCAATCGACAGTGAAAACACTTTATGTGTGTTTATTTTACAAGAAAATTGTAAAGACCAATATACACATATAGAAAAGCACATTACACACGAGAGAAAGACAAACTTGAAACTTGAATGCAAACGTTTTACGCGAAATTGTTACTTTTATTTATCACACATAAAATTAGAACGGAATACAAAATATAGATTTTTTTTTTTGGATAATTCTTTTGGTTATACACCATATTGCCTATTTCAAAACACCAAAGATCTCAGAAGGAAAAAATAAGATCTCGGGAAAAAAGGTCGTAAAAGAAAAACAGGCAAAAAGTATATTACCCAAAACGAAATCCTTTTCTTGTAGTTGAAAAATAAGATATTTGAAATCGTTGAATAATAAGAAAATAAAATAATGAGGACTATACTTCTTCAGGCCATTCAATGACACTGTCCAACGAAGGTCTCCACCTCCGACATAGTCTCCTGCGAGACTTCTCTTCTTCTGCTGCCGCAGCCGCAGCTTCTCCAGCCAATCTATCCGCCTCGAGCTCTCTGAGAAAATCTCCAAAAGAAGCCAACGTGGCATCTCCTCCTTTAGCTGCACCGTCTGCGTTAAGCTGGAAAAGAATGAGTTTCTCTAACTCCTCTCTCGTTAAAACAATCTTCACTTTCCGATCTTTTCTTTTGTAATCTTTCTTCATTGTCACTTCTTCACACCTGTCTTCTTCTTCTTCAGAAACATTTGCAATCTTCTTTCCGACTAAACAGTTTCCCATTATGATCAACTTTAAGTGAGTTTTAGTAAGAAAAAAATATGTTTTTTCCTTCTTCTTGGAAGATAATACCCACCAAAAAAAATGGAGAAAGAAATAAAAAAGGAAACTTGGGATATGCCCAAGCAAAAAAAAACTTTCCTCTTGTTCTTCTTCTTTCTGTTTTTCTGTGTGGTGTGATTTGGATCTTGGAGTATCATGGAGCCATTGAGGTATTATATATATAATATCGGTGTGTGTAGAAAGAGGAGGACAGAGATAGATAATAATTAAGGGTGCTGATTGGTTGGTTTTAAACTTTAGGTTTGAAATCGTGAGAGCGGTTACAACAGTTGAACCACAGTACATGAGTACAATATATGTTCTCATTGCGGTATAAATGTGCGATCACGAAAGTACGTATTATGTTACAGTAATCGTGGTTCGATCAAAATAATTTTCTTTTCGCCACTTACATCATCATTCGACATTGTTGATCTTATCATATTACAAATGATATCATCGAATCTAACTACATATAGGCGGTAGCATATGAATATGATTGATTTCACATATAACAAATTTCAGGTCTTTAAAAGAAAAAAAAATTCAGGTCTTTGTCTTTGATTAGCTGTTTCACTTCCGCGATAGATAGTTTTACGTGTAGTACATAGCACTACATCAGACGATTCTACTTATAACAAATTAAAAACTCCGATAAGTTAATTACGTACTTTGATTGAGATAAATACTTTTTTATATCGAGTATAAAATCGCATGAAATGTAATCTCACATGGCCTCATGAACCGAAACCGCTTGAGCTGCGGGACGAATAATAATTAAGTTCAATTTTTTATTTATATTATATTGAATTGTTACATTGTTTTTTCTTATTTATTGTTCGCGTTATATAGCATTCATTTATTTTTTTGTCATCTTTTGTGGGCCACAACATTATATAGCATTCATTAGCTTAAATAAATCTGCATCATGTAGCATCACATATATTTAAATTTAGACGAATTATTTAGCGCTTTTTATTTTATTTTTAAAACTCCATGTTTTGGATCAGTTTTAGCCTTTACGGATACTTATATATGTCTGATTTTAGTATTTTACTAAAGCTCGGATACCTTGATGGTTAAAGACTAAAAGACAAGTAAGTTAAGTGTATGAATTTCTAAAGCATGAAAGTATCAATATTTTAAAAGTACCTTAAAACTCTTGAGAGCGAGAACAGTTTATTTGGTATGGATCCTCATCAACGATCGAGAAACTGGCTAAAAAGGAATATAGCTTGTGTAATGACTGTAATCCTAATTACTCATCCGCGAGTGCTCCTCGAATTAGGTACCACGACCATACTAAGAGTCAAGGTCCTATACAGGATGTCGGCTTAACAGTCAAGTTGTCCCCACTTTTGTAAAATCCGAGTCGAACACCCTCAAAACCGATCCAAAAGACCAAAGTTTAAGCTAAGAAATTGTGCTAAGTGATTACTGTGTAACTAAAATACAAGTGAAGTGACAAATTAATTTCGCCTAAACTAAAAGAAGATAATTTATCCAATTATTACAGATTTCAAATTGTATTTTACATAAACTGCACCCATCTTTTTTTAGCACATTTTTAATTGTCTTGTTCTTATATGACGTTCATTTTCGTTGTTAACCATCTAATATTTTGTACATAGGAGTGCATACAGTATACATTTATAGAAAATGTCGCTGTAGGTTTAGTCGTAATCATACCAAGACCTGTAATATTCAAATGGTTCTAATGAGATTAAGCATTAACTGGATTTGTTATCATGTGGAATAAATTATACGCTGATACAACAAACCAAACGTCCTCCATTTTGCATATGAATATTTACGAACTATGATCCGTTTGTTTTGACGTCTGAATTTTTTTTTTCAGTATTCAATTATTTGATATAAGAATAACTAATAAAATATTGTAGAAGACATCGGACGTAATGCACATGTTCTGTCCGATTAGTTGGGTCTTTAAACCAAACCAAAACCGTGTTAAGAAAATCCTGGCAAAGTTCATTTATATAATTATACCAACTACCAATCTATCTTATTATTATCATTTTTTTTTTCATTTTAATAATCATCATTAGATTCTATAATAAACTAATCTTTCAGTTTGAAATAGCTCAATTATTCAGTCTTTTTTCTTTGCTTAAACTCTAATAATCTTTGTTAGTTGTTGACAAAATAAAATTCGTGTTAGTTGTATTACAACTAGAAGTATTTATACTTGGTCTTAGATATAATTTCAGATCAAAACCAAAATGGTTAGCCGTATTCAATTTAATATATAATGTCAAACACTTTTCTATATGTATCTCCAACGGAAAACAAATAAAACTGCAACCGGAGTTCAATTGCAGTGTGATACCCCAATGATTGCATTTCTCTTAACATATTAATTAAATGATTAATCACAATTGTTAATAATTTGGCTTGTAAATATAATAAAACTCCTTCTCATCTTGAAGAGTCGTTGCTATAAACCCTAAACGCGTTGTATAATTGATTCATGAATGCACCAATTCTTGTAATGGAAACTTCGTGGAAAGTGAATAACCCCCAAACGAACTTAATTTGTACCATAAAATTGTAGAAGAACAAGTAACTCGCAAGTCGCAACTAATTTATTGCTTATCTGTCTTCTCGTATGTGCTCATTATGTTTATCATTCTTTATCTTCACTTTAAAGTTTTATAGTTTTTTTTTCATCATGACATACTTTCTTTAGCTTCTCATGAACTTACACACAAACAAGTTATGAATAAATGCAAATGTAGTCCTTAGTGACGCTCTAATTCCAATCATGCCAAGTTCCAATCTTTGGAGTGTTTTCTTCAGTAGCCACGTAGAAAATAGTAATCAACATTTTATCAGAACGTAACAAAATTGTGTGGTTTCAAGTTTCAAATTAATGATGATAGTTTTGTGTACATAAAAGATGTACGTATCATTATTGTTAAATCATAATATTGAGCCAATAACATGGGCCGTAGTATTGGGCTTATAAAAGCCCAGTAATGGCGAAATGGAGTTGGAGACGGTCTCTTCGGCTACCGAGTTTTAAGCCGCGTACACATTCACTCACTCGCTCACTTTTCTTTATGATTCAAATATAGCGATCGGTCACGAGAGAGCGAAAGAGCAGAGAGAGAGAGAGATGGCGTCGCAGAAGAGATTCATCTTCGAGGTGGAAGCGGCGAAGGAAGCCACCGATGGAAAGCCTTCCGTTGGTCCTGTCTATCGCAGTACTTTCGCTAAAGACGGTTTCCCTAACCCGATCGACGGAATCGACAGCTGTTGGGATATTTTCCGGTGAGATTCACATTTTCCGGTTTTGATTTTCTCGGCAAAAAATATTCGATTGATGTGATTAGAGTTTTCCATGCATTATCCTTTCGGTTTTCTCTTTTGATTCTCTGGCCGCATTGTTATTTTCGACGTGTTTACAAATACATCTGTGTTTTTTTCATGTGCGAATTTTTGTTTTGTCATATGGATATTTTTGTTGCTACCACGTTGTCTTACATAAATTTTGAGGTTGAATTTATTAATGGTCGAGTGAAGATTTTGATCTTATGAGATATTGTTCTTTCTCAAACAAAATTAAGTTTGTTTAGCTTTCAATTTATCAATGACTTCTAAATTTCTAATAGTACATGTAACTAGTGACATACTGATTTTCTTTTTAACGTATGCTTGCTTCTTGTGGTTGCAGAACGGCTGTTGAGAAATATCCAAACAATCGAATGCTTGGTAACCGTGAGATTGTGAATGGGAAGGTATTACTTTCTTTTTGCATTTTGTATGGATTTTGGCTTTGTGATATTTTGGTTTCGAGTTAATACTTTATATCTATCTGATTTTTTTTTTTTTTTTTTTTCTTCTCAGGCAGGAAAGTACGTGTGGAAAACATACAAAGAAGTATATGACATTGTCATTAAACTTGGAAATTCTCTCCGTAGCTGCGGGATCGAGGAGGTTCATATTCAATTATGCGGTTTCTGATATACAATATTAATATATATCTTCAAGTGTACTAATTGATGTTTTCTTGCTTAAATGTGATGATTCATTTGTGCCTTAATAAGTTTTGTCTTTTCTGATTATGTGGAATTGTAGGGAGCAAAATGTGGTATCTATGGTGCGAATAGTTCTGAATGGATCATAAGCATGGAGGTACGTAGTCTTGATAAAATGTTTGAATTGCTTCCACTTTGAGGATTCAACGTTGCACCACTTCTCATGCAGGCTTGTAATGCACATGGCCTCTATTGTGTCCCTTTATACGATACTTTAGGTACACTTTCTCTAAATGCACCAACAGATATCATGTGTTTTTGATGACTCTATCTTGTCTTTCAAGTGTATTAATTATGAACTTTCCATTATTGAGTACAGGTGCTGGTGCCGTGGAATTCATTATTTCGCATTCCGAGGTGTCAATCGCTTTTGTGGAGGAGAAGAAGATCCCTGAGGTATCTATCTATCTATGCTTTTGACAGTGTCATATACAACATTTTAAGTATCGTGTGAATCTTAACTTCCTTTTTTTTTGTTCAATTTTCAGCTTTTTAAGACATGTCCAAACTCCACAAAGTATATGAAGAGTGAGCAACACTTATTAAATCATCCATTCTTTTTGGTTTAACACTTGTGATGCTAATGACCAACTGTTTGCTTAATTACAAATGCAGCTGTTGTGAGCTTTGGAGGTGTCAAACCAGAACAAAAAGAAGAAGCTGAAAAGTTAGGATTGGTTATACATTCTTGGGATGAGTTTTTGAAGCTGGTAAATACACTTTTATTTGCTTTTACTCTGAAACTTTTTCAGTGATCTATACATATTCACTACTGGATCATTCACAGGGTGAAGGTAAACAATATGATCTTCCAACTAAAAAGAAAAGCGACATATGCACTATAATGTATACTAGCGGAACCACTGGTGACCCAAAGGGAGTTTTGATTTCTAACGAAAACATTGTTACTATCACAACTGGAGTCATGCATTTCCTACAGAGTGTAAACGAAACCGTAAGTTTCTTCTTTCACATTTCGCATGTAAAGCTTTTTAACTGAACTCTTCTAATTTATATGTTGCAAAAACAAAAACAAAAACAGCTATCTGAGAAGGATGTATATATATCTTATCTCCCTCTTGCACACGTCTTTGACCGTGCTATCGAAGAATGTATCATTCAAGTAGGTGGTTCCATTGGTTTCTGGCGTGGGGTGAGTGAATACATCTCAATATTCTGATCTTGTAAACCATTTATGAATTTTTTTAATATACATTCATATGTTTATGTTGTTTCTTCAGGATGTCAAGTTGTTGATTGAAGACCTTGGTGAGCTAAAACCAAGTATCTTTTGCGCTGTTCCTCGTGTCCTGGATCGAGTATACACAGGTAGTTTCAATATTAAGATCTCTTTAACCACAAATATGTTAAGCTTATAATGCCGACCAACTCTAACAGGGCTGCAGCAGAAACTATCTGTTGGTGGTTTCTTCAAAAAGAAGGTTTTCAATGTTGCTTTTAACTAGTAAGTGAAAGCTCTTCTCTGTTTTACCATATGGTGTTAAAAAAATATCTTGATCTAACATTTTCAAAACGTCCTTAGCAAATTTGGAAATATGAAGAAGGGACAGTCTCATGTTGCAGCCGCTTCATTCTGTGACAAACTTGTCTTCAACAAGGTAACAACATCTTCTAAAGAGAATATCTGAAGAAACTCTTTTTGAGACTTCACATTACGTTAAAATTCTCTTTTCCTTGTAAATCTCTCTTTCAAGGTTAAACAAGGACTCGGAGGAAATGTGAGGATTATTCTATCTGGAGCAGCTCCTCTCGCTAGTCACATTGAGTCATTTCTTAGAGTTGTGGCTTGTTGTCATGTTCTACAAGGATATGGTAACATCCTTTAGACCAAAAAGATCAATTAGCTCAAAACATTCTCTTTTAGCTTATGATTTGTTTCTTGGTTGTATAATAGGTCTAACTGAGAGCTGTGCTGGAAATTTTGTCACGTTCCCTGACGAACTAGACATGCTTGGAACAGTTGGTCCACCAGTGCCAAACGTTGATATACGCCTCGAATCAGTCCCGGACATGGAATACGATGCTCTTGGGAGTACTCCGCGTGGAGAAATATGCATCCGTGGGAAAACTCTCTTCTCTGGTTACTACAAACGTGAAGATCTCACAAAAGAACTTCTTATTGATGGATGGTTTCACACAGGTTTTTAAACAAATACCCGCAAAAACTCAAATCGTTAAATTTCTTCTTTAATTTACCTTATCTGTCTCTGTATGATCTCTCTCACCAGGTGATGTCGGTGAGTGGCAACCAGATGGAAGCATGAAGATTATTGACCGCAAAAAGAACATCTTCAAACTCGCTCAAGGAGAGTATGTTGCGGTTGAGAGTTTAGAGAATGTCTATGGTCAAGTAGAAGCCATTGATTCAGTAAGTCATTAACTTTTTAGCCTCTACAAATGACATTGTTCTTTATCTTGATCAAGTTTTGAATCAATATTGTTTAGATATGGGTGTATGGGAACAGCTTTGAGTCCTTCCTTATCGCGGTGGCTAACCCGACACAACAAACTCTTGAACGTTGGGCCGTAGAGAATGGAGTGAGTGGAGACTTCAACTCCATTTCCCAAAACGAAAAAGCAAAAGCATTCATACTTGGAGAACTCGTTAAGGCAGGCAAAGAGAGAAAGGTTCGTCTTCTTCTTTCTCTTCTTCTTTGTTTAAGCTTCTCCTCTTGTCGTCTTTTGTTTTTATATTCTCTCTGCATGTATAGTTGAAGGGTTTTGAGATCATTAAAGCTGTTCATCTAGAGCCGGTGGCTTTCGACATTGAAAGAGACCTTCTTACTCCAACCTACAAAAAGAAGAGACCTCAATTGCTCAAATACTATCAGGTAATTATTAAACATTTTATGACGATTTTTGAGCTTTGAGTTATCAACCTGGATTTTTTTCTTTTTTTTTGTTGACAGAATGTGATTGATGAAATGTACAAGACTGTAAAGGATGGTCAAGCTTCCGGACAGTAGATTCCTTTTCAACACACTATATACTACTATAGATCTAATTCAATGCTATTTGTTGGCATAAGATAAGCCATTTTTCATTTAAGGTTCTCCAAATAAGCTTGTGTTAATATCTTGAGATGTTACATGGCATCTTTGACCTGCTACAACATGATTCTTAATTTATACTTTGCTACAACATGTTCTAATTACAGGTTTTTTTATTTATAGAAATTCCACTTACTAGCAATAAGATGTTAAAGTACTTAGTTTAAGAAAAATATAAACAAATATTTTTAGTGGTTTGTGCTAGTCTCATTGTTGCACCATCATCTAGGTGTTAAAATATAAATATCAATACCCACTTTGTTGACAAATTAAAATCGATGTACTAAATGTTCTACTATATCAAAAACAGAAAACTATAACGTATTTTCGTCTTGTTGCTTCAAAATGACAATTCGTTAAAAAAACAAGTTTTTTTCTCTCTAAAAGGGTTAAAAAAAAGAGTTTCATGATATGGACAATCATTAACATTGAACACAAAAGAAGATACACAAACCGGTAGATAGAGGCCTTCAAAAACGTAAACATTAGCCTACACACGTTTAACATCTTCTTGGCTTGCCTTAACACGCGAGCCAAGAAGATACAACGTAAACATTAGCCAACATTTGGTTACAAATAAAACAAGTTTCATGAACCATTTTCTCAGTTACTTCGAAGTTTCAAACCATCGTTACCTTTTTATTTCTCGTGGCTTCGTAATTCGTGCCCTACGGAAAATAAAAAAATGTTGACTGAAATCCACAGTATCAGTCATATACTATCTTTGTTTATTGTGCGATAAAGGCTTTACGGTAAGAAAACCCTTCTGGAGAGGAAATGTTACGTGGCATTGTCTCATCGAGAGGTCTCGGAGCAATAATGATCAACGTACAGTTTATCTTTATCAACATGAGCTTATATACATGTAACCGTTACAACATACGTCATGTGATTCTGATCTCTTACGACAAACCGGACCGGGTCAATCTAACTAACCAATGGTCTAACGGCACGTTATTGAAACCACTCTTTTCCACTTTCCGATTCCTTAAATTTTGAATTCTCTTTCGGTGAAAAAGATGAATTCTCTCTTTTATTAATTGCCATGTTTCCTCCATGAGAAGTTCCTTATCTATTTTTTTTTCTTTTTTATAATCATGGAGATTCTAAAAATTTATAGATTTTAAGATTAATCTTATAACCTTCCATCCGAATACACGATTGGAAATATTCCAAATTTAATGGGTAGTTAGATGATCAAAAGGATTCAAGCTCAAGATTGTTCCACTTAAAAGTTACCACTAAATCAAAACAACTTGATTTCTTATTTATTTTCTTATTAATAATTTGGTTAATCAATATTAAAACGATATTTACATTTTAACAGCACAAAATGATGATGAAAAAATAAAAGTATAAAAAACGATACTTCTCTTAATTTTGTGTTACTTCTTAAAAAATTAATAGTTTTGCTCTAATTAATAGTTTTACAAGATGAAAAATACAGTAAAATTATTTTCTCGTTAAGGATTTTTAATTTTTAATTTATTTTCAAGGACATGTTTTCCATTATCATTTGACATAAAGAGATAAGAGGTATTACGATCTTTTTCTTGTTAAAAATTTGTTCAGAGCTGTTTCCTGGTATATTTTGGCTATTTCTTTAATTTTGGTGCTTACATAAGTATATAATATTGGCATAAAGTATCACCAACGAAAACATCAGAAAACCATTTTGTACTTTTTGGTGGATCATTATCCCTGCTCAGATATTCCAATGAACACCCCTTAAAAGAGAAAATTCCAAGGAAACTTTAAAATTCTTTTACCTATCCATTTCATAAAACTAAGCATTGTTGTCCCCATTTCTTTATTTATTTTTTCTTTTAATTAGAGCTTTTTGAAACATATGCAAGTTGGCGAACAAAAATGCATGCAAGTTATGAAACAGACGTGTGTCGTTTTACTCATATTATGTGTCCGTTAGTGGACGGACCTCCCTTTGCTGAAAAAAATGATGTTTCTTTCCATTGAACGTAATAAATATTTGTTTGGTTAAACGCAATTGAACTATTCGACGAATATGTGACTTTGTGATATATATAGCGGTTTGGAAAATTAAATTTTGTCCACATTTTTAACCCATGAAGAGGAGGTGGGTTGAATGAAGCCATTATGTGTAAGTGTGTAACCAGTTAGCACAAGGTGGCGACCACATAACTACAAGGCTCATGTCGAGGAAAATATCTTTTGTCAACCGAGTTTGCAATTTTTAAAGAATTTTTCAGTAGCTCCCTTACAAATTTATAAATGTTTTTATACAAACAAAAACAATGTTTAAAATGTTTGTAGTCTACATATTTTTATCGTATACTGTAATATTATATATCTTTTATCAAAGTATATTGTATATATTTTCTCACTTATCCATGTGTATGTTTTTTTAACTATTTTTAAAAAATACATGCACCTTTTGTTTTGTTAAAGTTACATGCATTAGTTAGTTAGTAGCATTCTGCTATTCATCTTTTTGTTTTTGTTTTGCCAATCTGGTAAAAAAATTATATTAATAATAATAATCAAACTAGGTTTCTAAATTTTCATATTTTAAAACCTCCTTTTTCAAATTGCTTGTGTTGTATTTTTACTTCTTAGGTGTTAATTATGGATATATATATATATATATATATTTTTTTTTCTTTCATAAAATATACCAGAAAATTCATTACTGAAATCGTACATTTTTTCGTCGGAGTAATGGTGTGAACTTTCAGCTTTGCTGGATCACCTTCCAAGTTCCAACTCAGACCGTTCCTAAATAAACTATTACATGCGTACATAACCGGTTGAAATCATCCTTTCAAATAACTACGTGAGCAATTCTATAATCGTTTTCTTGGGTTTGAAGAAAACTGCAACAAAAGAGTAATCGGAATTGATATCCGAAGATATTACTATGTGTTGTTAATTAATTATATAGTCACATGTACTCACAATTACTGTGGTCTACCAAGTTGTCCACATTACGGTTTCTATTAAAGTCCTTTTCTTGTTCAATGAATAAACGTATCTCGATCGAAGTGGCAGTCTTTAGACCGTCATTCATTTTTACTTTTTAATAATAGTCCTCCATAGAAAGAAATAAAAATAGTACTCATAGATAAAAGAAAGACACGACAAGATATGTTTGTCTTGTCTCTCTATATATATTAACACACATAAGCATATGTTACGTATATAATATAACTTTTTGCTATGTATATAATATGCTTTTTGCCAACCTTAACGGATGGTTACTCGTCGAACACTTGAAGAGGAGTCATTTTCATGGAAACAGGTTTTACTCTGCCCATACTAGCCGGCGATTACGACTCCGGTGATAGCAAGCGAGTAAGAATGGCTGATCGACGATTTAACGTTGACGGCGAAGGCAGACCTGTAAAATTACCAAAAATCGAGGAGAACGGTAATAATTCCACTATGAAATTGAAAGTCACTAATTTTTCCATATGTTTGTTAATTGTTTCCTTAGTTTTTTTGAATCTCACTTACGCACAACACTGTCATTTTTTTCTTCAATCAAATCTCTTAAGATGGTTTAGAATTAAAATATCACTTTATAATTATATGATCATCTCATCATCAAACCCGAAGTAATCATTTGTGTGAATTTAAATTGAGGAACATTTTATGTTAAAGTTTATTGCTAAGATGGTAACGTGTTAAGTTCACCATAACTAAGATCTACAAAAATTGCAAAAATTATTACCAAAATTCATCAAATTTTTTTTTTACCATTTGGGACTAACATTTTTATTCTATGAAAATCTTATAGGAGATGTAGGGACATCGGAAGCAACACAAGTCCATGTCGATTCACTAATGGCTGACGTGGCAATTAACGATGTAGACGGGAAAACAAACGCCGGCCACGGAGTAGTCTCGGTCATGGGACGGCAGAGAGCTATGACGACCGCCGTTTCCACCGTCGTCGATGAGATCCCCTCTTACGATATTTTTGGAATCTTTGACGGTCTTAGGCCCGCTAAATTCTTCGAGGAGAGGCTGTGTCGGCTCGTGAAGGAGGAGGTGACGTCATGCCACGACCGTAGAGTGGCGGTAGACTGGAATAAAGTGATGAGATCATGTTTTTCGGAGACGGTGGGGACAGTGAGGTCCACGGAGGCGAAAGCTGTGGTTACGATAGTCGGAAAAGAGGAGGTGATTGTACTTTGCCGTGGCGGCGCAAGGGTGGTTCTTTACTCTCACGGCGGAGTTGCTTTGCCTCTTTGCCATATCCATCATCACAAGGTGACACTTTTTGTAATTAATCTTATTTTATTTGATACGTAATTGTTTAGCAAGAACAATATACGTATGGCGTTCAAAAATATTTTACTGGTCCAACCGTTCTATATATAATTACCAATCAGGATTTTTATCTCCCACAAATTATATTTGGTGTTTTTTTCTTGAATCTGTATTGACTTAAGTTCATAAATATATTACAAGTTTTGTTAAACATATAATTAGGTTCTTAGCATATATTTAGCGCTAGCTAGTATAATTTTTTAAAATATATATAACCAACTAAAATGTGTGTGATTTTTTGCACAGAGTGGTGAAGATCAAATATTAAAGATCCATAAAAGGAACATGATAGACGATTTCATAGTACTTGCATGCGAAGGGCTATGGGACGTTGTCTCCGACGACGACACATATCAGCTTGTCAAATGTTGTCTCTACGGCAAATCACCAAACGAGTAAGATCCTTTACTAGGTTAATTATTTGTTGTTTGTCAATTGTTTATTACTTGATACACAAAAAACATTAAGTTAATTTAATTTTCAGCGATCTCAAATAATAATTTAATTACTTTTACGACTTAATTTGACAGAAGTAAAAGTGAATCAAGCTCGACAAAGGCTGCGGTGGTATTGGCAGAGCTTGCAATTGCTAGAGGAAGCAAAGAGAATATAAATGTCATTGTTATTGATCTCAAGAACAAGAACTCTACTGTTTCTTAGTTTTCTTTCATTTTTAGTTACGACTCTCGATTATTTCTAGCTTTTTTTTTCCTCTATATTTTTTTTCATCTTTCTTTTTAGATAGTTTTGTGTGTCTTTGTTCGACTAGGTTTTTAAGTTTTTTTTTTCTTTAAATTTCACCTTTAAAATATATAATTTTCTTGGGAGTTTGGTTTCTCACACCCCTGCTTTGTTATTCTCCTCGCTGACATGTTGATAAATGTATTTCATATAAGATAACTTTTCCAGTTGAAATATTGAATACAATATTATTATGATGTGAATATATTGTGGCCAAAATTTTGTCAACCAATCAAACTCCCAAGTCCTACGAAACTGAATCATATGAAGTAGCACCAAAATTTAGGCTTGGTTCGAAAAAGAAAAAGTAGCACCAATTTTGTCAAGATCACGCTAACCGGCAAACTCGTTATTTCAGCTTTGTATTTAACGGTGGTAAATGTGGATCCAATCGCATGGATATTCCGAGTCTTAAATCGTTCTGTATTGTATCTTTCTTTTGCTCTCTTATTTGTTACGCTACTTTTCGATTGATAGTGAAAATTGTGGGAAACGGTCCGAAAGGTATATTTGGGGAACTCGGTAACTAATTATGATGTATTGTGTTGATTAATTTTTTCGAACATCAGCAAGTTCACATGATCACATTTGTGCACTTCATCGGATTAAAAAGCCTTACAACATTTAAGAAGATAATATAGTGTTTTAACAAAAAAAAAAGATAATATAGTGGAAAACCTTTCTTGATTTACAATAGTTCCCCTGGTCTCCAATAAGGGGGGGGGGGATAAAAAATTTAAATCCATTGTTATTGATTTATGAATTTTGACAATCTTACTAAAATCCATTATTATTGGTCTAATGATTTTTAAATTTCACACAAAATCCATTGTTATTCAAAAAGTTTGTGTTTTAATGATTTTAAGAATCCATTAAAATCTTTATTATTGGGACATGAATTTTAAACAATTTAACTGATGGAACAAAATTTCCAAAATACTATCTATAATCCTTAGATTTTCAAAACTCATTATAATAAAATATTTTATTGATTTTATAAATATACTAACTCTCTCCAAATCTAACATAAACTCTTTATAAATTTAACAAATCTTTTAGCTTTTAAAATCAGATATAACAAAAACTCTTTAAAATCTTATAAACTCTTAACTCTTATAAACTCTTTAAACTCTTTATAAATCCATTATAACAAATCTTTCAATTCTATATAAATTTATCTCCCAATAAACTCCCCCCCCCCTAAGTATTTATGTTATGAGATTAAGATATAAAATCGGATAACTTTGACCTAGGAAAACTATTCGATTAAATAAACAATTAAAACTTAATCAGAAAAAAGGAAAGGCAATTAGACAAATTGTGGGCCAAAATAGAATGAATAAGTAAAAGCGCAAGCCCAAAATGTAAGAGCAGTCTTCATCTTGTCGACAAACAATTTTTTCCCCGATAATTTCTCTTTCTCGGCAATTCCATCCAAACACTCTCATCGTTTTTCCGATAATTGATTTTCTCTTTCTCGGCGATTCCGGTCCAAACTCCGAACACTCCTTTTCCGCGTCAAACACCTCGATCGATGGATCCAGAGAAGATAGTTGTCCATGAGAGTGTAACGACGCTCCTAGAGGACAACTATTTCCAAGCTCAATCCTTCAGAGGATACGCACCATCCAAGGGGTTTTGGGACTACAGTCCTCTCGGATGAGCAGTCTTTCATCTTATCGACAAACAATTTTTTTCGATAACATCTGGCTTTCTAACGATTTTACTTTCTTGGTGGGATTCCGATCCAAACTTCGAATACTCTTATAGTCTTTCTGATCTGACATTTTTCTCTTGGTGTTTCTGGTCCAAACTCCAAACATATGATCACAATATGGTTCGGACACTAGAGCTAGTATTAAGAAAAATCAAAAATTATGTATCGAACCAAATAAAATGTGTGTGTTTTTTTTGTACAAAGTGGTGAGGATCAAATATTATAGACACATATCAGCTTGTCAAATGTTGTCTCTACGGCAAATCAACAAGTAAGACCCTTTACTATATTAATTTTATTTTTCTAATCGTTTACTCAATACATAAAACATTAATTTCATTTCTTTTCTTAGCGATCTCTAATAATGTTTTATTTACTTTTACGAATTAATTTGACAGAAGTAAAACTGAATCAAGCTCGACAAAGGCTGCGGTGGTATTGGCAGAGTTTGCAATTGCTAGGGGAAGCAAAGAGAATATAAATGTCATCGTTATTGATCTCAAGAACAAGAACTCTACTGTTTCTTAGTTTTCTTTCATTTTTAGTTATGCTTCTCAACTATTGATAGCTTTTATTTTTGTTTTGTTTCCTCTATGTTGTTTTTCCATCTTTCTTTTTAGATAGTTTATGTGTATTATTGTTCGATTAGGTGTTTAAGTCTATTTTCTTTAAATTTCACCTTTGAAATATATAATTTTCTTGGGAGTTTGCTTTCTCACACCCCTTCTTTGTTATTTTCCTCGCTGACATGTTGATAAATGTATTTCATACACGTTAACTTTTCGAGTTGAAATATTATGTGAAAATATTGTCGCCAAAATTTTGCCAACCAAACTCCCAAATCCTACGAAACTGAATTGGACAACTTTCATCAGACTTTGAAAAACCAGATTTAGTGTAAAGCTTGCCGGAGAAGCTGAGTGTAAAGCTTGCTGGAGAACCGAAAACCATGAAGGAAACTGAATGAATTTCCGGTTTTTCGTCACTCCCGGTAACGATTGCATCCATTAAATAGGCATTCGGTTTTACTTCGTCGCATCTTTTATGGGCTTTTGGCCCAAATCTCAATGAACTTTTGAGTGATTTTAAGGAAAATTGTAATGTATAGTCTCACATAATATGAAAATTAAGTGACAAAAAAGTTCCATTAATTATTCATTAACAAAAATTGGTTTTATTCTTATATATTTAATATAATTATATTATTTTTTCTCTCTCATAACACAATATTCAAACGAAAGAAATAAAAACCGATAGTAATTCTGGCAGCCGATGATAACAAGTTAACAACATGTAATTCTAGTGTTGGTTATATTGTTATCAATATAACTTATAAAGTTAACTTATAATAACAATGTTATTATTGTTATTATGTTAACTTTTAAGTTTGATTGGTAAACATATATTTATGTTAGACATTAATATGAATATTATAGATAAATTTATATTAGTTAACATGATAATAGAATAGTTATTATGGTACCATAATAGTTATCATGGTAACTGAATATTTATCATGATACCATATTAATTAGCATAGTAATCGAATAGTTATCTTAATATCATATTAGTTAGCATGATAATTGAATAGTTATCTTAATATCATATTAGTTAGCATGATAATTGAATAGTTGTTTATTAGAGTCGTATATTGTTCTGAGTTTTCAGACGATAAACAGTATAATCGATTTGGAATTGATGAACAATGTTTCCGATCTATTTCCGATTTATAACAGGTTTTAGATCAATGGCATTATATGTAAATAAATTTAAAGTTGAAAGATATTTTGGATGATATCAATAATTCATTTCTCCTATAAATCTAATTATGAAGTTATCTTTCCAAATTCTTAATTGTTGGCTAAATTCACCCTGTCCTCTTTTAAATTCATCATCGGTGCATTGGAATAAGAATAACTGATGATTTTTTTGACCCAAGAATTACATAAATGCCACTCATATCCACAAAAACAAACTCAATGCTTATTACACAAAGGACAGTGCCAACGAAAAACAAAACAAAAAGCCCAAACTGTTTCTATTGATTCTACTAAGGAAACGTTGATACCGTTTGTCCTCCTCCGGCAACAGGAATATTCTTGCTTCCACTAAATCAACCCTTCTTCTGCCAAAATCAGGAACACATATAAGTCAACCTTTCTTCTAACAACAAATACACAAGTCTCTGTTTATGAATAAAAATCACACAGTAACTTACTTAGCTCATCGAAAGAGATTTTGCTAATGCTTTCACCGTATTTGATTAGCCGAATCTTCCCTACAAAAAAAAAAAAAAAAAAAAACGCAAAAGAACGTAAGTCAGCAACAGAAACCAATTTTCAAGATCATCAACTATATATGAATAATGAAGATAACATACCATCACGGCGAATGCAAATCTCAGGGATACTCTTCACTTCACTGCTGATGCTATCATTATACACTCTCGTCTCAATATCTCCTTCCACATAAACCGATGAGCTGTAACAATAATACACCACCAATAAGTTCATATACAAAAACAGAGAGAGAGAGAGAGAGAGAGAGAGAGATTGTGAATGTAGAGGATATTATTCAACACAGTAACATATAACTAGCTACCGGGTTTATCTACTGTTGATCCGAAGGTCAGAAAATGTAGTAAAGCTTACTTTTTGGCGAGTTTTTGGACAGCGTAAGAGCCAAGAACTTCGTTGTGCACTGCGATTCTATGCCACTGAGCCGGTTTCGGCTGATTTGTTGCTCCCACAAGCCTCTGATCAAACATGCCCCCTGTTCCAACTGTGAAGATCGTCACTGTTCGTCCGTTCCTTAAGATCTTCTGTATCGGTGCTTGCCCTACTTTCCCACATATTATCGCCTGTGCGTAGTATCAGATAACATGTAACAAAGATGTGAAAACCCAAACAAGTAATGATATAGCAACAAAATCAACTCAGGTCTTGAGCTATAATCTGATAATCTCATCCGATTCCACTAGCTCAGAGCATGTTTTAGGATCGAAATAGACAAAAAGATTGGTACTTTTCAATTGGGTTTTTCTCACAGCAATGAGGCCAGTAGAAACAAGCAATTGAACACTTGGATAAGCCTAATTCTGATTCTAATGTTCTTCAGCTAACAATGGTTAAACAAAATGTGATCAAGATTGAGTCTTTTTACCCTATGGACACCGCGAAATCCCCAGCCTTTACGGGGATCAACTCCTTGAGGCTGAAGCTCGGGTCTCTCTGGAATGGTTGCTTCGAAATCTTCTTCGATGCCTTCATCAATCGGACCAGTCGAGAACCAAGACCTCGAGCCTCTCTCAGCACTTACTGCTACACTCACGAAACATATGATTAATCAATCACATTTCTGGGTAAGCTACTACTGAACAGAAATTAAGGGTTTAAAGTGATAAAAAGGTGGAAAATTTAGGTGAGAAGAAGAGAGATTTTACCAAGAGAAGATCTCGGAGAGAATCTGAGAAGCTTGGAGGCTCGGATGGCGAGTGAGTTCATCTTCAATTGATGTCTGTGAAAATGCACTGATCACTCGAAATTAGGGTTTATAGTCACGGCGATGCAACAATTAGATCCAGATTGATCACGATTAAATCATATGAGGGAAGAGGTACGATAGCAGAATTTGGTCTAATAGGTAAAATGGAATAAGCTTACCCCTGAAATTTGAGAAAGAGAGAGCGCAAATCAGATAGAGGACGAAGACCAGAATGGCGTGGAAGCAATTTTGCCTCTAAAACCCTGCCTGAAGCTTTTTTAGGGTTTTTGAATGGAAAGAAAAATGCTGTGAACGGGATACATTTCCGAGGTAGAGGACGACGGAAACTTAGGTTGTAATTTTGTGATTAGACAGAATTGCCCTTCCTCGTAAGAAATTAAAATGGTCTTTTTCCCTTAAGTTTTTTTTAAAGTGTTTTAAGTTTTAACATTCCTCAATCAAATATTAATTTCTTAACTATTATTAATTGTATTTTTTATTAATTTCCGGAGGGTGATCAATAAAACTTAGCACCAAACTTAGTTTATTCCATAACTCTGAACACATGTTTGAAACCGGATCTTGCATCCACAATGCCCAAAAGGTTGCTTAAGCCAAACTTTGGCAAGAGAGTTCATATATGAGGTTGTGACTTGTGATGGTAGATTCTCTGCCCTTCTCTGAATAGAAAGTTATAGGAGAGCTGTTTGGAGCTATTATCTCTCTCGCAGGAAAAACAAAATCCCAAGAACCAACGAATAGAGATCATTCAGTAAGTATAATTTGGTCAATAAATGAAACTAAAACCAAATTATTAAATATCGTTTGTTGACGTACAAAATTATGTTTTTACGTTGATTCACACAGTTGGGACTATGATATGATGTTTGATGGATCAAACTCTGATGCAGGATACTCCCTAATTTTCCATAGATCTCCATCGCCATTGAGTAGAGAAGAGAAGCTGAGATGATGCTGAAACCCTATACATAGATTCTACGTCATCACTCATGTACCTCGAGGAGATTCCCACCGTCTTTAAACACTTTGAGTTTGCGAGAATGTACTCCAAGAATTGTTTCTCTGCTCCAATTCCTACGTAAGATTTCCACTCAAAGATCTCAAGATGAGACAACAAGCATACCGGTACAGAAATCGGTTTGCGCCACGAACGCCAGAGACTATCATCGGATAAACACTGAGAAAGCAACGAGGAAGAGTTTCTAAACATCAGTATCCTTCTAAAAAACTTGCTTGAGAGAGAGGGAATGAATGTACTTACAGTGTTGATCATAAGAACTTTTAGTACAGGAGAGTTATGAAGGAAAATCATAAGTGGTTCCAACCAAGACTGTGAGTGAAAAAGACTCAGCTTTAACTGTGTCAGCCGATTGAAGTTAATGTCGCTAATACACGCAACCTGCATTAATGGAATGAAACTAATTAACACAACCTAAGTGAAAAAAGGCTTTTTGGTTTGAGTAAATTAAGAAAAAAGAAAAATATACCTGGTTCAAAATCAAATCAAGAAACCTAACAGATGAGAAAGATTTCAGAAACGTATCATTCGGGTGAAAGCCAGCCCTAGTATTAGTAACAATGTACAACAACGCCACACCAAGGCGAGGCGTATTCTGGATGGAACGATAATCTCCTGTAGGATCATAGATCTTAAGGTAACGTAAAGCAGGGGAGTCTATAACCAAGGACCTACCCGAATCTTCTACGCATCCATTTTGGTGGTATGTTTTTTTTTTTTTTTTTGTATGTTAACTTCTTTAACGAAGGAACATTCACACTGAACCTAGTCACATAGTCATAACCGCTCTTTCGGGTCACAGACAGATCTCTGAGATTAGGGCAACTTGATAAAAGCTTAACAGGAGATTCTTGGTCTTTATACGCCACACAGTTAAGGTTTAGCGATTTAAGAGACGGGAGGCAAGCACGAGAAGGAACATCGACGAGAACGTTGTTTGATAGAGTCAAGTGTACAAGCGTTTTGCACTTGTAGATTAAGCTGGTGGTGTAGTCGAAGTTGAAATCTATGACGAGTTTGGGCACCGTCGTCCACAAGAAACGCCATCGTTTCGACAAAACCATCGTGTTCAGTGCATCTTGTGGTGGGAGTAGAGACAATATGTGTATCAGCAAATCGTTAGGCAAATCACTGATCATGTCTTCGTGAATTCTTTCCACGCAAATCTCAGACATCAAACGAAGCAGATAAAAACTTCACAAATAAGAAAGCCCTAACTTGAGTTTTATTTTATAAGGAGAGTAAACGTGTATTTTGTTAGAAATATTGAAACAAAACAGAGAGAGAAAGAAAAGAGACAAAACAGAGGAAGAGATAGAAGAGTTTATCTCTTTTCCGTGAAGAAGAAGATTAACGAGGAATAGGTTTTATTGATATGAAACTTGATGTGTTACATCGTGTTACATGGGTTATATAGTAAGACAACACACAACAAGAGTTGTGTCTCTTCATTAAACCTATCCAACCCTAACTGTCAGAACAGTTACTTCTCCTACAAGCATCCTTTGATGCAACGTACAATAATCACTTAATTGTATCATACGACCAAACTCAATTAAATCCAACATATTTATAAGGAAACCTAAATTCAAACAGAACCTCTATATAACTTGTATTCTTAGCTAATTTACTCACAACATCTTTTTATTTTATATATAAATATAGATTTCCTTTTTTACTATTACGAAATCTAATTTTAAGAGAATTTCAACTTTAGAAAAATACACAAAATTTCAATGGAGACAATAAGATTATCATCTTCATAGCGCGACACACTTATAGATTTGACATACAAGTAATATATGAATTATCATCGGTTGGTTTTGTATCCAATTCTTAACAACCAAAAAATTATCATTGTCCACAATAGAAAAAATCCTTTATCCAAAAAAAATGAAGAAACTATAAAGAAAAAAGAGGGTGGTATGCAAAATCTCTCGTTTTCAAATTGATGAAGGTAGAACACCAAATACAATTCAGATAGTAGGAGTTGTCAATATCCGAGTGGAACATGGATACAGTAAAGTTTATATTGGATTTTACTAAGAACACCGCACGGTAAATATATTGTATCGATAGCAGACCAACTTACTGAATTTGCACATTCTCTGGCGATCACAGAGAGCAGTGTGCGGATTGTTAAGATCTATATGGATGAAGTTCTGTGGTTTCACAAAATACCAATTAACACTCTCTTTGCATTCCTAGAAAGGAACCTTTTAGTAGACGCTGGAGACATAGGTTAGGTTAGTGACCGACCATCCAAATGTTAGAGGTACTATTACATTTATGAGTTTTATTGGATTGTGAAAGAAGTTAGACATGCGTGAACATGTTCATTCGAAGATGAGCGTAAGAATAAATTTTATTCGAAGATGAGCGTTAGAATAAAAATTGACATGTCCACATATTTGATATTTTGCGCGGCAAGTAGAATATGGCGTTTGTGCATGGAATCTTTGACATTAATAGGATCTCCGATGGAAAGAATGGAAAAGCATCGCTTTTTTATTTTGTTGATTGAAAATGCAAACCCCCACGCGTAATGAGGTTTGAAATGTCTTCGGTCAAAACCATTGACTCATATTTTCTGGTTTATTATTTTCCCTTCAATTCAATCGTTGGCCAATTCATTTTATAGTTATGTAATTTTTTTTATGTTGAGTCTTGTAGACGAGTGACGACACATTTTTTTTTGTGTGGATAAAAACGAGTGACGACACATGCGTTTATTCTTTTTATAGAATTACCATATTACGTATACAGAATGTAAACACAAATACATTACACATGCACATAATACACTCTCATAAACCACAAACACTTCACTAAATTTGTTTGAAACTTTTTTTTTATAGCTCAGGTTAAATCCCAGGCGACCTATGGAGGGGCAGACTATTTGTTTGAAACTTACAATATTAGTAATAGTATGATTTAATCAATTAAGTATTGATTTTTGTAGCCCATATCGATCTATTAGTGGGAAAAAAGTTTCATATCAGTCGTGAGATATAGAAGTTAAGTTACTTTGAGTCTTCGGCGTTGGACTTGGTCAGCAGAAACCTTCTCCTACGATCTTGGACAGAAATATGACTCATTTGTCAAAGTATGTTATTTTGTATGGTTCATATTTTTTGTTTTGAAAGCTATGGAATTTCCTGTACATTCCTTACATGTTACTTTCATAAATTAATTATTTTCATACAGTATTACAGTTGGACACTAGAGACTCAAAATAAATCGAACATCTTGGTTGGATCATCCCGATTTTGTTTTAGTTTACCAAAGATACATGAGTTATATATACATTAAAAAATGTGATATATGAACTGGTTCCTAAAGAAAAAACAACTGAAAATAAAAAGTGAAACAAGAAATTGTGTTGACAAAAAGAAAGCAAAATATAAAGCATGTAGCTAAATAACTTTTGCAAATAAATATTGAAAAGAACCTTAACGTCCATAAAGCCATGTTTTGAATAGGTACACTGAAAGGTACAGCTGTTGTTAATTGTAAACCACTGGATTTATATAGCTAATCAGCTAAAGCTTGGTTAAACTAAAATAAATCCAAATTTGAACTGGTCAGCATTTGACCTTCACTACTAAACACCACCACTAATACACTCGGGAACTATATACTTCCTCAAATGAAGACCAAAGACTTTTCTCAATTTTGAATCTTTTTTTGTTATCCTTTCTTTCTTTTTTAAATAGTTGATCATTTGGTCAAATTTTCAAACACATTCTGCACTTAAAATCCAAACCCTTTAAATTCCAAAAGAACACTCTTCATCTAACAACAACCCCATAAACATTCTCATCACAAAATACCAAAATCTCTCTCTCTTTTTTTCTCTAACGTCTCATCATCATATGTTCCAAATCTAAAACTTACCGTAAAAGGTTAAAAGGTGTCCCTTTTTTACAAAACATTTCTTTCTCCTTTGATGTCAAAAGTTCTACCAAGAAATTTTATTAACTAGATTTTCCGGCACCGTGAAGCGACCGGTCAGACGCATGCGAACCGGAGCTTAACCGGGTTCCGAATTCAGCTGAAGGCGCTAAATTGACCAAAATTACCCTTTAGCTGAGAAAACCATGTCATTGTTGAATTGTGAGCAGAAGAATTTGATAAGCGAACTGATTCATGGACTAAATGCGGCAAAACAGCTCCAAGCTCAGATCGGAGCAGATCCTTCGTGGCGCCCTTCTTATTCTTCGTGTCTCACGACGGAGATGAAGGAGACTCTCTTACATCAAATCGTTTCTTCTTACGAGAAAGCTATTCTGATGGCAAACGGATCCACCAGGACCACCACACAACACAATCCAACTACGGAGACGGTGGCCACTGCGGATCCCTTATCCGGTAAGGTTCCGGAGTCTCCGACGTCTATTGCCGGAAGTCCGGGAAGCGAAGACTTTCTTGATGGTGGATCGAAAGATTACATCTTAAGTTCTAAAAAGAGGTAAACTATTTGAACTTGAATTAGGCGTTTTAAACTCTTAAGAACGACATAAATTACAATAAATTATTCATGATATAAGAAATAACGTGAAATTTACCATAAGAAAATCTGTAACTGTAATTTATGGATCTGAAAATTAAATGGAAATTTGTAGGAAGATGTTGCCAAAATGGACAGAGCAGGTGAGAATTTGCCCAGAGAGAGGCTTAGAAGGACCTCATGATGATGTCTTCAGCTGGAGAAAATATGGCCAAAAAGACATTTTAGGCGCCAAATATCCAAGGTAATCATCATCTTCATCATCATCATACGTAATTATGTTTATGGAATTAATCGACTAATTTGATGTGTTTTTTTCTGCTGCAGGAGTTATTACAGATGCACATTTCGTAATACTCAGTGTTGTTGTGCTACGAAACAGGTCCAAAGATCGGACGGTGATCCGACGATCTTCGAAGTAACGTACAGAGGAACACACACTTGCGCGCAGAGGAACCAACCTCCGGAGAAACGAGAATCCAAACCAATCGCCACAGTTGTAAATTCCCAAAATGACCTCCTCGACAATCTCAGGACCAACCTCACTGTCCGTACTACTACCAACGGGATTGAAGGCGACGGTTTCTCGTTCCCCGTTACGCCGCCGTTTTATTCTTACGAGTCTATCAACGGAGATTTCGGAAACGGCGGTGGAACGTTTTGCCACCACGTGGGAAGCTCTGGTCCGTCGGATTTCACGGGATTGATCTCCACTAATACTTCCACCGGAAGTTCTCCGCTTTTCGACGTGGATTTTCATTTCGATCCAACGGCTGAGATTGACACGACTTTCCACACGTTTTTACATGATACGATATAAAGACCAATTAGGAACTAAACAATGACATTCTTGAGATTAATTTAGTGAGATTAATCTTCTCGATCCAAAGGTTTTAGTTTGAGAGCACTAATTTGTATACTTTCTGTCAGTAATTTGGGTATCCAATTTTCTTTGATTGTGTCAAGTAATTCTTCATTCTTCAATAGATAAGAACAATCGAGAGAGAGTGAAAGATTTTGATTTTTCACAGAAGGATGAAAAGTAACAAAACATAAGAAAATCTTAAAGTTGAAATCTTAAAAATTTCGAAAGCAGAGTCATTTTTGCATAAGAGAGAGAGATTTGAGAGATGTTCAATATGAGCAAACTTGAACATTCTCATTTTTATCTACTACTGACTGAGTTAGGTGATTTTCTTTCTTCTACGCAGTCTTGGTCTTATTGTACTCTTCCACTTCATTCTTGTAAGCTTCCATTAGCTCTGCAGCTTTTTTGTTATAAACTTGTTTCTCTTCTTCACCAAGTTCCTACAACAAGGTAACAAAACCAACAAATCAGTTTCACAATTCACAATGACATAAAACCATATACTCGATTAGAATCGTATTTACCTTCCATTTCAATGACATGTGAGCGGTAAGAGTCGAGTTGTTGATTCCAGGATGCTCTTCTGACAAAGTCTTTCTGGCATCTTTGCTGTAAATATAGAAAAAAAAACAGTTCAGAGAAAAGATTTTGAGATTTGGATCTATGATTTTTGAGATTTCAGAGTTTATAAAGTACCAGAAGAGAAAGAAGGAAGAAGTAGGCTTCTTGGGCTTGTTAGGGTCAACAGCCTCGGTCTTCTTCTTGTTCTTCGTCGTCTCTTTCTTCTTCTGCAGTAAAACAATGTTGTTGTTAGTGGCTGACTTTTACCTTAGTTAGTCCAAATTGTTTTCTTAGTGAGTGTAGAGTAAAAACCTTAATGATATTGTCGGTTTTCTCCTTCTTCTTGAGAAGTTGAAGAGCTTCCTGTTTATGGAGTTTCATGAGCTCCTCTTCTTCTTTCTTCTGGCTCATTTCTTCTTCTTCCTTCGTCCTCTTATATCCTTCCATCTCTTGCAGGTATATCTCCTTGTTCTTCTTTGCCATCTGTTGCAACAGTTCCACACATTAGAAAAATCTCTTTTTCAACTCTTTTCCATTGTTTCACTCAATTGATATGGAAACAGACCTCAGTGTAGGGAGCTTTTTCTTCCTCGGACAAGTTCTTCCACTCTTCTCCGGTCATCTTAGCAACCTATATCATCATCCATCCACACAACTTAGCTCCACGCGTTTCACATGTCATTTACAAAAGACAAATTCTAAATTCTTTAGTTACCTCCAAGATGTTATTGTTCTCTTCTCGCAAAGCAGCTCTCCTCTCGTTTGCATAGATAAAGTAAGCAGATATGGGCTGCTTAGGCTTCAGGGGATCCTTTACTTTCCTACAAAAACGAGAATGCAGTTAGTTCTCTTGCTTATTCTTACTACCAAATAAGTTCTTGATTGAAATAGTGAGATGTAATTGATGTTTACTTGGTCTTTTTCTTGTTGTCCTGTTCAGATTCCTGCACAAAGTGGAGATACTGATCAAGCAATTCCATTGCGTTTTTCTGCTTCTGCTCATCTGTGAGAAGCTTCATGGCTTCTCTCTCGCGCTTCTCCTTTGTGATAACCTGGAGATACGCTTCTTTATCTGCCTGGTACTTCTCCTCGTAAGGCTTCTTCTCTTCTGCAGTAAGAGTCTTCCACTTAGCACCAAGAATGTTCGAAGTCTCCTTGAAATCAGAATCTGGGTTCTGCTTCTTCACTTCGTTCCAGTTCTCCTTGCACCACAAAATGTATGGTGTCGATGGTCTCTTTATCTCAGGGCAATCCTTCTTCTTCTTCTTTCCCTTCTTTTCTTCCTCAGTTTGTGCCAAAGATTGACCGAAGGCAAAACTCTGAGGAACAACATAAATGCTCCAAAGTCAATCACCAGTAATCATTATATTGGAAAAGCAGAGAAATGAAACATAAGCGATCATTTGAACATTCAAAATTAACGAAAATCAAATATAACTATTTCATCATCCATTGCAAGTGTATCCACTTAGTTTGACCACCAACAAGCGTATAAATCAAATCCAATCTCATACTATAAAGCTGCATCGGATGATTCAAAGAACCCAAATCTAGCCGAAATCTGGATCTCTATAAAGCTATTTGTACCAAGCGACTCAACAATCAACAATCTCAATTCGACGCAAATGATTAACCAGATTTTCCGAATATATCCGAAAAATAAGTGGAGATCCAGAGCTAGATCTAGAAATCGTACCATGTTAGGCTTGAATTCCTTCATCTTCTGAAGTTTTTTCAGCTCCGCCTTGAGCTTCTCCTGCTCCACGTCCCTCGTCTCGAGTTCCTCCTCCTTCTTCCTCAGGATCTCGTCCTTCTCCTTCAGCAGATCCTCCGTTTTCTCCTTCTCGATCTTCATCTTCTCCATCATCGCCTGCATCTCCATCAGCTCTTTCTCGAAGGACTTTGTTTCTTTCCCCTTGGCTGAGACCGGAGAGAGCAACGGTGATTCCACGATCTCATTCTTCTCCTTCAACGCTTTTCTGCTGTTTCTCGATTTCTTCGCCGGAGCAGGATCTGCGACTGAAGCCATGTTATCAAAAGATTGAGCAAAGAGCGTATCGAAGGTTAGAGAGAAATGGAGGCTTCGAAATTTAGGGTTAAAGATATTGTGGAGCCTCTTGAGTCTATCGTGGGCACTATATAGGAAGCTGAAGCAACGGTCAAAATTTTGAAATTCGAAACTGATACTTTTCTGGATTTAATACTCGCTTGGCGTCCGAGCATGACGCAGAATTTCTCTTTGACCTTTCTGAAATTTGACCGTTCGAATTACCCACTAAACCAACTTACTAAAACCGGTTTAGAACACAATTTTATTTGAAAACTACTTAAATCGGAGTATAATTTTGTGTCGATTACCTTTTAAAATTTTGACCGTCAAACTTCCTAGTAAACAATTTAAACCAACTTTCTAAAATCGGTTTTGAACAGTCTTATCTGAACAGCTTTTGCAAATCACATAAACATCTCCAACTGCTTTACAAAAAACTGATCCATACAAATTGCTTTAGTGAAACCGATTTTCAATTCCTCTTTCGGTTCACCGGAAATCTGAGCTGTTGTGAATCAAAAACCTCTTCAACTTTACCAATATACATTAGCCAGACCAAACCGGTAATTTCAATCCACCCAGTTCAGCCTCTTGACAAAGTTACATACAATCCAACCCGGTAGTTTCCCGGTTCAACCATTGACTACGATCTCCAATATAACATCGTTCAAGTAATCAATCGGACCAGGCAAGCACCAATGCAAACAATCGTTCTGTACCTTTGCGTTCTTGCCCTTATCAAACGGCCTAAACTCCCGGTACGGACCCGGATGCCCATCGGGTCGGGTCAGCAACATTCCGGCGAAATCCAAAAGCTTCAAATTCCCACTCTCCTCCTGACCCATCTCCATAACCACCCTCTCAAACTGACTAATCTCAACATCCCTCAAGATCTTGTTCAAATTCTTCATCTCCATTTCCCCATCACTCACCGGATCTGTTCTCTTACAATTCCCGCCGCTATCCCATTCTCCGTTCTCGAAGTGATCCGGTATCGAAGTCCGGAAAAAGCTCATCCCTTTAGTATCAGATCTCGCCACGAAGTCCAACACATGGCGCAACGACGTGTTGTAAGCATAGTCGAATCCTAAATCCGTCATGTTGGCACTTGCCAAGCAGCCGTGGCATCCGACGGGGTTAGCGTTCTCGTGATAGACTGCGGTTTTCAAGAACCATTCCCCGGATGAGATGATTGCGTAGTCGAGGCTCGGAAACAGATCAGTCCACGTCTTGTCGAGTCTGTCGAGGTGGAGCTGGACCGCACCTGATGAGACACCGTTCGAGTCTTCGAAAATGTCGGCGTGGACGAGAAACGGCGACCAAATGTTGGATATTGTGAGATTGTGTGAAGGAAAACGCCAACGCTTTGATCTGTAGTTCTCGTCGTGGTACACTTCAACCGGTTTTTCAACCTGAAAACATGAGAAAAAAACAATCTTTTCATTTAGAAATCTTATAGTCTGCAAGTAGATAGCAAGAAACTGTTAAAGGCCTTACTGTGGAGAGCATGCAGAGCAAAGACTCGACATGGTTACGGGCGATGGAGTCACCAATGAAGGCCCAGGACTTGTTCCTCATGAGCTGGAGAAACCTATGAGGGTCGAAGCGAGGCAAAGAGCAGTCGTTTGGCTTCCATTTCCAGTAGAGGAAACCAGAGTCAGGACGGCCGTTGGTGATGCAATCCTGGTGAGCGTCTACGAATATACCACAGGAGCCGTTTGTGTAGAGTGGTCCTAGAGGGTCTTTGATCCATTTCCCTGTGAAGAGATCACACTTCTCCACCACAATATCTGTTACAACAAAGGAGCAGATTCTTATCATCAGGTTTTCACTAAGAACAGAGCAAAGTTTTGGATTAGAGAGCTGCAGAAACAATCATAAAACATCACCTAAGAGATCAAATTGTGGGTAATTTCAAAAAAAAACGAATCAAATTTGTGATAACTGAGGAAGCTTAAACCAAAATGGTCAAATTAGAAAACTTTCACAGAAGCTCCAAATGAATCATCTAATGATGATTTTGCATGAATAAAAACACTACACATCAAAGAAACACTCATAAAACATCACCTAAGAGATCAAATTGTGAGTAATTCAAACAAATGAATGAAATTTGTGATAACTGAGGAAGCTTAAACCAAAATGGTCAAATTATAAAACTAAGCTCCAATTGAATCATCTAATGATAATTTTGCATGAATTCAAACAGTCTACATTACACTGAAACTTCACAAGACCGTTTTCCGAAGTTGCAGACTTGAGAAAACATCTATTTAAATCCCTAGATCTCAGAAATTTCTCCCCAAAACAACAAGCTTAACAAAATGTAACAGCGAAATCGTAATGTTTATGTTAGGCTAAACGTACCAACGGGAAGTAGATCTTCGTTATCAGATAAGATAACGGAAGGCGGCGAAATCATGGAATCGGGATTTCCGGTTACCGACACTTGAACAGGGGAAATTTGGCCGAAGCGGAAGATGAAGAAGCGAAACGTGAGACCGGTTATGAGAATAGCAGAGACGAGCTTGATGAGAAATACATTTTGGTGAAGCGTAGAGACTGATTCCCATTTCAGCTTCATCTTCTTCCTCTCGCTGGAATGTTAGAGAAGAAAGAATGTTTGTTTTGACTCTGTGCTACGGCAATAAATGAATTAAATAATAAAATCCAAAAAATAAGATCAATGATAAATTAATGTGTCTAATGATTGTGGCGTTGAATGTAAATAAAGTCCATAACCATTCGGTACGGCTATGCAAATGCAATTAGTGTGATACAAAGCTGGTTTAAGAAAGAAACAGATTTAGATAGATTTTACCAAAATACCATCCCTTTTTTCGAAAATATATTTTTTACAAAAGAAAAAACATTAGTCTATTCTTAAACCATACTTTCCTTTTCCTATAAACATCTTTCACTAAATTCTCATTTCTAAACAGTTTTCTTTACAAACGGTTGGAACTTTTGGATTAACACTATTAGTAAAACCAAAAGTACACGGTTAATTAAAGCTAAACAGCCATTTGATTTGAACAAATTAATACTCAAACGGCACACTAGTTAGAGATTATATACGATAATCTTTGTCCTTTGGTCTTCCCGCTTTTATTTCCTCTGCTTTTAGGTCTTTGTTTTCTTCTTCGCTCTAGTTTCTCCCTCTCCTGTTTTCCACTAGACCTTTGACTGACGAAGAAAAACGAGATTCTGGGTAAGATTTTCTCTGAAATTTTTCTTCTTTCTTACCTCTAGGTTTACAATTTCCCTTACTATTGTTCACAAAATGTATTGTTAGCTGCCTCTTCTTGAATTTTGGACCGTCAACGAAACTTTCTGAGGTACGATTTTCTCTGGAAATTTTCTTTCGCTTTTCTCTCTCGGTTTACATTTTGGGTGAGTTTGTTGAAATAATGCTGGAAATCCTTTTGGGGAAAGAGGGAATTTTGTGGAATGTTGGAATTTTTTTTATCTGTTAGCTCTAAAGAACGAATCTTGATTTCTAGGGTTTTCTGGGATTAGTTTTTTCGATTTTTTTTAGAAATTAAAGAAATAATTAAGCTGTAGAAACGAAACAGACTAATGTTTTGTTTGTGTCTGTTCCAGGTTTAAAGGGTTAAAAAGTCATGACTGGAACATCACCATCATCAGCTCGTACGGACAAATCGGGGAAGAAATAAAGCCTTGAAGAAAGGAATAAGCATGTTGAGGAAACTTACGAGATAATGAAGAAGCATCTTGAAAGCAGAACTGAAGAACTCGAGGTGACAAATAAACGTTTGGTCGAGGATTGTGAGAGAGAGAGAGAGAGAGAAGCGAGAAGACGAAACTGATTGAAGAGATGAAGGCAATGGAGAGCCAGAGAAAGACTGAAACTGATGAATTGATGACGAAAAATCAGCAGCTTTGGTGCGAGTGGATCTCACGCGCCACGAAAGTTTCTCCCAAAAACTTCACCGAGCTTTTCGTCTCTTCTCTCCGACTTGAGGTCTTCTCCGTGCTCGGCGCTTGCCGATGCCGTGAGGGGACCTCCTTTCTCTTTAATTGCGTTTAAGATCTTCAACGGCGGTTCGATGGATCCAACGACATGAAGATTAGATCCAGTTTCTTCTCCGGCAGCGATGGGCGTGGATAATCGGTGGGAGAGGCGCTGCGGAAGCTCGGGTTGCTCAGAGAGGCTGTCGCTAAACTATCCATGGGTGAATCTCTGCTAGAGGACGGCGGAATAGCTTGTGGTGAGTTTGACGATGGCGGATCTGAGTTTCGAGTTGTGTCTCTCTTCGCCGGTTCGGTGGGTTCGCTGCATCTCGTGAAAAGCTCCGGTGGAAGGTGGTGTGAAGAAGCGTGGGGATGGCGGGTCCTCTGTCAGATTCACTAAATCTGATGCTGGTTCGAACTTCCGTCGGATTGAAGTTTCTAGGGTTTGCGGAGGAGGAGGCTAGAGTAGGAAGCGTGGGCTCTTCTTTGGTGGTGGAAATCTTTGTCACTGTGAGCTGATATTTGGCTTTTGGTGGTGTGGCCGTGGGGTTATGGATCTATGCTCAAACCAAATCCCGGAAGAAGTGTGGCGGCTTGGAATCTAGCCGGATACCTACCGAACGGCGGAGACGGAGACTCCGGTTTACTAGGAGGTGGTTCGGGGACGGTGAGGGGTTGTGCCTCTTCTTTTCTCCGCCGGAGGACGGTGAAGAGTGGTCTCTCTTTTACCTTTTCCCATCTTAGAGTAAAGCCTCATAGATTGTAGTGTTGCGTTTTTGATCTGTTTCCTTACCGTACTTTTGTCTGATTGTCGGAAAGTGTAATCGGCCGATGCCCATTTTTTTGGGTTGAATTAATAATATATATTTTATTAAAAAAAAAAAAAAATCAGCAGCTTTTGATGGAGAAAAGTGAAAAGGAAAAAGAGCTGGAGGAAATCAAGAACAAGTACGCTGAATTAGAGAGAGATTTGGCTTGGTTAAAAAAACATGTTCATTCCTGAAATCACTCTTTGATACTTCAGGTAAGTTATGCAAATCTCTTGATGTGAAATAGTTATTCTTTGAATCTGTTGATGCATTATAGCCTTGGTTACCTCAGGAATCTCTGTGCCTGAGACTGACCAAACGAAGAAAAGATCAGCGGAGGATAACACACAGGTCGGTGGTTCGATGGCTTCCAAGAGGCAGAAGAAGGATAAAGACAACTGTGCCGATCCTCCCCGTGAAATGACGGAGTTGTTCGACGCATGTGAGCGCCGGATGGTAAAGGTAAAGCTTCTTTGTAACTCGTTATTGAGTATGTCGTAGCTTGATTTGCTTCACTTTGACTGTACAATTTTCTTTAATTTTATCAGTCGCATAGCGTCGTGAAACATACGATCTTGTTGTTAGATCGTGACCTCCAAGCAGCGCAGAAGAGTGTAGGCGAGCTTTCCAAGAAGAATGAGGCTCTTCAAGCTGAGAACGTCCAGTTTAAGACGGAGCTGATAGGTTCCAAAGACACTGTGGTTACTTTGGAGGCTGAGAAAGCGAGACTTGCTGCTGAGCTGGACTTGGAAACGAAGCCTGTTGTTTTTCGTCGTGTGGTAAAACTAAAAGTAAAACCGTAAAACTCTGTCGTTTAGCAGGAGAAAAAAAATAAAAAGTTTTCCGCTGCCGGGATTCGAACCCGGATTTCCAAGGGTGGAAGGCGAAGTAACATGAAAGTTTAACAATTTCAGAGTTTTGCTACAGCGGATCATATTGGTCTTTATCTATCGAAAAATCATTTATTTACTAAAGTGAAACTCATTGCACATAATCCTTTATCTTAGAAAGAATTTGGGCCGAGAAGTATAATATTAGCCGAGAACTTAAGTCCAAAAAAGAATAATGAAAAATTAATGCATAATGACTGTTGGATTGATGCAATTAAAGTCCATTAAGCTGATACAATCATACAAGTGATACAAAGCTGATTTAAGAAAGAGAATGAGTAAAAGAGATTTTGGGTTAATTAATCTCGTTTTCTTCGTTAGTTACTTAAAATTAAATACAAGATAATCTTTGTCGTTTCGCCTTCCCGCTTTTATTGTCTCTACTGTTTTAAGGGTTTTGCATTCTTCTTCTCTCTTTTGTTCTTCCTTTCCTCCTGTTCTGTACTGACATTTGACTGACGAAGAAAACGAGATTCTGGGTAAGATCTTCTCTGATAATTTCCTTCTTTTTATCTCTGGGTTTACGATTTCCGTTTAGTTATGTTTATTTCTGTCCTCACCGACCATTTTTATCTGCTTTTTCTTGAATTTTGACCGACAACGAATTTTTCTGGGTACGATTTTCTCTGGAAAATTCCTTTGTCTATTCTCTCTCGGTTTTCATTATGGGTGAGTTTGTTGAGGGAATGCTGTAAATCCTTCTCGGGATAGAGGCTATTTTATGAAATGCTTGAATTTTTTTCTCTGTTTCTGGAATTTTAGGGTTTTCTAGAATCAGCGATTTCGAGAATTTGTAGAAATTAAAGAAATGGTTAGACTCTATTAGAAGAAGACTGATGTTGTTTGTGTCTGTTCCTGGTTTAAAGGGTTTCAAAAGTCATGACTGGAACATCATTAGCTCGTACGGACAACAAATCGGGGAAGAACAAAAACTTGCCTGTGACTAATGTAAAGGTTGAATTCGGTACTTCTTCGCAGGCAAGAGACACTATGTTCGGTCAGGAGGAAACGATGAGAATACAGCATGGAATCCTGAAGGAGAATCATGAGATTCTGGAGAAAAATTACCAAAGCCTTCAAGAAAGAATGAAGCATGTAGAGGAAGCTTATGAGATGATGAAGAGGCATCTTGAGAGCAGAACTGAAGAACTCGAGGTGACAAATAAACGCTTGCTTGAGGATTGTAAGAGAGAGAGAAGCGAGAAGGAGAAACTGTTTGAAGAGATGAAGGCAATGGAGAGTCAGAGAAAGGCTACTGTTGATGAATTGATGATGAAAAATCAGGAGCTGGAGAAAATGGAGAAGAACAAGTATGCTGAGTTAGAGAAGAAATTTGCTTGAGGATTGTAAGAGAGAGAGAAGCGAGAAGGAGAAACTGTTTGAAGAGATGAAGGCAATGGAGAGTCAGAGAAAGGCTACTGTTGATGAATTGATGATGAAAAATCAGGAGCTGGAGAAAATGGAGAAGAACAAGTATGCTGAGTTAGAGAAGAAATTTGTCATGGTTGAAAAAGAATATTCATACCTGAAATCACTCTATGATGCTGAAGATGATGAAGTAGTAGCTTCAGGTATATTTATCTATCTATATGCATATATATAGTGTTTTTGATATGATCTGATATTTTTAAGTTAATGCAAGTCTTTTAATGTAAGACAGTTTCTTTTGAATCTTCCTTTTTTGTGCAGATGCGATAGTGAGTGGTGACGAGAGTGATGCTGAGAATGAACAAACGAAGAAAAGATGTGTTGAGGATAACACACAACAAGTCGGTGGTTCGATGGCTTCCAAGAAGCAGAAGACTCAAGACACACCTTTGTCCAATTCTTACGCTTTTTCCTATGAATACAACAAAGACGGACCGTTCGTTGATGATAAAGACGCATGCGCCGACCTGCAACGGCTGGTCAAAGATATTCCCTATGACTTTCCGCTGGTCCACGAGCTTGAAGAGTCTGAGGCGTACAAAGACATGGCTCACGCCATTGCACAGGTAAGCTTTGTATGTTGTAGCTTGACTTTGACTGTAGAATAATTGTTTATTTTTTTTATCAGATGACCGCCAAGGCGAACAGTGTCATCTGGTTGTACGATCGTCGTCTGAAAATGGCGCTGGGGATCAGAACGGAGTGGTCGGAAGATGAGTTTCTGACCGATCTGTTAGAGGAGGAGGCGGTTTTAGACAAGTCTCGCGCATGGACAAAGGTAAAGCATGTCTTTTTGACATCGTTATTGAGTATTGAGTATGTCTTAGCTTGATTTTCTTGACTGTACAATTTTTGATTTATTATCAGGTGATTTGCTCGACGAACCGTATCGTCTGGTGGTATGATCGTAAGCTCAAAGCGGCGCAGGGTGTTAAAAAAGAGCTGTCCCGGGTTCGCGAGAATCTCAGGGTGGAGAAGAGAAAGTCGTTGCTACGTAAGAAGAGTGTAAAGGAGCTTTCCAAGAAGAGTGAGGCTCTTCAGGCTGAGAACTTTCAGTTTGCGACCGAGCTGATAGGATCGAAAGAAACCGTGGCTGCTCTCAAGGCTGAGAAAGCGAGACTTGTTGATAAGTTGGTGTCGAATGTGAGGAAGTCTATGGATTCGTTGACATCTCAAATAGAAGGGAGTAAGTGACAAAAGCTCACATCCGATGACTTAAGGACCGAACTTCTCCGTTTAAGCTCTCGTATCTCTCTCCTTTCTTTTCGTATTTTTTTGTGTGTAAAACTCGGTCTTTTTTTTGTGCAAGAGATTGATATAAGAAGTAGGTTTCCTGAGAGGGTTTCTATGAATGAAGTTGCTTTGGTAAGTTTATGCTTTCTTTTTGTGATTAACTTTGAATAAATGTGGATACTTGATTCATGACGTCTGTGTGTTTCCTTACAGATAAATTTTACCATATACCCCCAAAAAAATTGCAGTGACAGACATTTGAATACTTGACACGCAATTAGCATTGTTTTCAGATGAATCTCATGTTTCTTTTCTTCTTGTTTTGCTTTGGTTTATTCGACATGCCATGAACCTGTGCAGTTGTTCATTGTACAAAGGTTTTGAACTTCAAGTTAAATAAATTTAACACTAAAACCAAAAGTAAGATAAAAAGTTTAATTTAGCAATTACTCCAATACTCTTAACGGTTAAATGAAATTAAATACGCCCTTAATCGTTTCGCATTCCCGCTTTAATTTCCTCTGCTTTTAGGGATCTGTTATCTTCATCGCTCTAGTTTCTTCCTTCCTCTCCTGTTTTCCACTAGACCTTTGACTGACGAAGAAAAACGAGATTCTTGGTAAGATTTTTTCTGATAATTTCCTCCTTTTTGGTTTACGATTTCCATTGAAATTGATGTTGTTCGTGTTTGTTCCAGGTTTAAAGGTTTTCAAAAGTCATGACCGTGAAGGATGAATCCGCTTCTTCGAGTAACATTATGTATCCAGAGGGAATAATGGCAGTAGAGTATGAGTTCCTCAAGGAGCATCATGAGACTCTGGAGAAAGATTACCAAAGGATTCAGGACAACATTAAGCATGTTGTTGAAACTTCTGAGATCTGGAAGGATTACATTCAGAGCAGAACTGAGGAACTCGGGGTGGTGACAAGTAAACTTATGCTCGATGAATGCGAGAGAGAGAGAGAAGCGAGAAGAAGAAAATGCTTGAGGGAAAAAAAAAAAAAAAAAAAAATGCTTGAGGAGATGATGGCAACGGTGAGTCAGAGAAAGGCTAAAATCGATAAATTGATTAAGACAAGGTGCCAGAACAAGTCAATGTGAAGTTGTACACTCTCTAAGTTAAGCTGGTTACGGAAACTTCTTCTTACATGATATGTTATATGCTTGTCAACATTCGGTTATATTGCTCTTTTGAAGAAGAATGCTTTTATTATCGAAAACACTTCCATATCATTTTTATCAGTCGTGTTTACAACACTGTCTGTTTCTGTCTTACAATAATTTTGAATAGTGATTGAACAAGGTTAGGCTGTAAAAATTGTGAACCATTGAAAGCTTTTTGCATAAATTTAGATTCTAATCATTCATAAATGTGGCAATAAATACGATACGGATATACAAATTGACAAAGTATAACCGAATATTTTGAATCTCAACACATGCTAAATAAAATCAAGCGTTTTTTTGAATTTCTTGAGTTAATAACCAAATCATCATATTTTGCATCTAGCTCTCTACATTCAAATAAATTGAATATGTAACTAGCCAGCAATTTCGATACTGTGTGTTAAACCCCAAATATACTTAGAGGAATTTAAATGCGGAACATATATGTAAACACTGAGAAACTTAAGGGGCTGATTAGGAAACACTGTATAAACATTGATAAAGTACTGTTTTTTAATTTTTAAGTTTATCTATCGTGTTCCTCTGTCGCTTACTCAAAAACAGTCAATTCATTTTCTGCCTTAGAAAAGATTTTTCTATCGAATCGACGTTTTACTCAAATTTCCGTCGTTTTCTTCTTTTTCCAGATTTCTCTGCTCTTTTTCTCCTCTCCTCTCCCACCGCCTTATAGTTATCTTCTTCCTCCTTCGATTACGTCCCTGGATCTTTTCTTCTCTGTATTATTCATATCCAGATTACATCAATGATTGGCTCCCGGCGATTGGACTTTTGCCGCTCGTTTGCTTAATTATCTCTGAGGTAGAAGAGAAACTCCTCTTTCGTGATTCTTTTTCACTACCTTTGTTCAATGATTGAGAAAATCTTATACGGATGAAATTGGAAAGTTTTTTTCACTATTTTACCTGATTTGGGTAATGATAGTCCATAGTCCATACCCACATATGTTTCTGGAATCAGTGGACGCCAATTTTCAATTTCTGTATTTGGTAGAGATGAGATTATGTGAATGTTAGTATTGAATTTTGTTTCCGGATTCAGCCTTAGACAATTCTGAATCAAAGCTATTGGGTTTAGTGAATTGAATCGAGATTCTATTGGCTTTCTATGCTTAAAGACTCTGAAGCTATAAAATCCCAGAGAAAGTAACTTGTAGCTTTGAGTATAGTGTGGTGTGATTCTGTTTTTTGACAGGAAGCTCAAATTAGGAAATTTTGTTTGATCTATGACCTTTTTGTGTTTTCTCATTCTTTTTTTTTGTGTAACATTGATGATACAGTGAATGATGGAAGACGGCTCAGTCGGGGATGTGAGTAGGCTCAGTGAAGCTGAAGCTGCTCACCTCCAATTCAAAAACGGTCAGCAGCCTCTCAAACCGGAGAATTGCGAGATTCAAGAAATCAAAGAAGTGGAGGTTCAGAGGGAAGCCGGTTCTCCTGATAGCTCGTTTGGTGTCATAGCAGAGTTTCTAGACGGTAAGAATGTGAATGAAACAGAAAATGCACCAAGGCAGAGTACAAACGATGTTGGCGACGACGTGGTTGAGGAGTTGACTGTTAAAACCTGTGAGGGGTCGAGCATGGCTATAGTTGGTAGAGCAAGTAATAGAGCTAGATTAGATATTAATCGCAGTCAGTTTCGCAATTCACCTGGTAGCAGTTCTATGAGTAGGGGAAGTGAGAGAGATACGCTAAGTCTCTGGAGAAAAGCGAAAATGTCTTTGCCTGAGGCTTCAGCTGGTGATCATATGGCCATTGCGGCTATTGATGAAGCTAAAGAACATTTGAAAAACGTTGAGCGAAGTCCTTTACCAGTGGAGGCATTGTCCCATGAAGGTATTAAGACGAAGATGTTGTCGCAGTCTGGATTCTCTCAGTTTTTTGTTAAGAAGACATTGAAAGGAAAAGGAGTCACATTCAGAGCTCCGCCAGATAATAGAACTAAAGCTAGCAATATGGATCAGCAAACTGTAACTAGTTCTGGTAGCCCTTTAGTAGTATCTAATACTTCACCAAAGGTTTCCAGTAGCATCCCTTTGCCGTGCTTGCCTTCCAAAGCCAGTCAACCATCTTCTTGTGCTAACCCTTCGGATATACATAGAGGTTGTGAAGGTGAAGGTTTGAGTCTAAGAGAATGGTTGAAGTCAGAGCGTCAGGAAGTTAATAAAGCAGAATCTTTGCATGTCTTTAGGCAGATCGTGTATCAGGTGGATGAATTTCATTCTCGTGGAGTTGTTTTATGTGACATACGGCCATCTTCTTTCAAAATTTTGAAGGACAGTACGGTCAAGTATGTTGGTTCAGGTTCTCAGCGAGAGTCTTTTGACAGGAACGTGAACAAAGATACTTTGAGTCAACTCGAGAATCCTCTGGTTAGAAAGCGGTCAGGAGATAAAGGAGTTTCTTCTAGTTACTTTATTCCTACGAAGAAGCAGAAATCAAGTGGACCAAGCTCTAGACAGTGGCCTATGTTTGGACGAGCTGGTGGCGTCAGTATACAAAATGAAAACGATGATGGAGCAATGCAGGAGTTTCGTTTGAGATCTAGTCAACCTCATTGTAGTACCGCTGCTCGTCCTTTTACTTCGATGAGTGATCAGTTGGAAGAGAAATGGTATTCGAGTCCTGAGGAGCTCAGGGGCGATGCTCGTTCAGTCCCTTCAAACATCTATAATTTGGGTATTCTTCTTTTTGAGGTATGGAGAAACTTTTATTAATTGCACTTGTGGTATGACATCTTTATTTAGCTTTAGGCCTGCAATTGTAAATGTTTTCTTCCATGAGTTGAAATGTGAAACCATTGAGTAATGTCGTCAACTAATGCAGCCGTAGCATGTATACGTGTTAGGACTCGAGTTTGCATTTGATTTATGTCAATAGGCAACGTGATATAGATAACAAGTGCATAGTTATGGAATATCACATAGGTTTATAAAGTATTGCATGTTCGTTATTGTACTGCTAACAGTAGACTATCTAGTCGACATTAAAGATGACTCCCTGGCTCTTAGGTTATTGTATTTTTTTATTTGAATGGTTCTTCTTGGTCAAACAGATCATTCTCATTGATATTATAAATTTGGTTTTTTTTTGGCGTCAGCTGCTTAATCAATTTCAGTCTGAAAGAGCTCGTGAGACTGCAATGTCTGATATCCGTCACCGGATTCTTCCTCCCAGATTTTTGTCCGAGAATACTACGGAAGCTGGGTTCTGTCACTGGTTACTTCATCCAGAACCTTCATGCCGACCATCAACCAGGCAATGAAAACTCTTTAGCTACATTAATTTTCAAGTGATAAAAGCATGTTATTGAACTTTTGTATGCTTGATTCTGGAGAAGGCTAAGGGCCATAATTCCCAACTGGGGCTATTGGAAGATATTCTTGCTGGCTATTACACAGGAAATGTAAAAAAAAATGAACCAAACGTAGAGGTCTATTCTCATGCCTGTAAACAGAGAGAAGATTGTCACGTTAACAGTTTCATATAGGATTGTTAGGTTCTACTCTTAAAAATATATTCTGTGTCCCCTTATGTGCTAAAAGGCTCCTTCCTTAATTCCTTTATCATGTTTCATTGAGTCGGTATCATGAGTTGGCGTAATCTCTAAATTTTGCTAGTTCGATGTTTGTTCTATATCAGGGACATATTGCAATCTGAAGTGGTAAACGGAGCTCCAGATTTGCATGCTGAAGGCATATCTTTATCAATTGAACAAGAGGACACAGAGTCTGAACTGTTGCAGCATTTCCTCGTTTTGTCCCAAGAGCAAAGGCAGAAGCAAGCTGGAGCGTTGATGACAGAAATTGGGTCCTTAGAAGCAGATATCGAAGAGATTGTCAGAAGACGTTGTGCCATAAGGCCTCTGACTCTGGAAGAAGCTTCTACCTCGTCGCCTGCTTCAAGTGTACCTGAAATGAGACTGAGCAGGAACATTAAACAGCTCGAAAGTGCTTACTTCGCATCAAGGATAGATGCACATCTCCCTGAAGCACGCTATAGGTTACGCCCGGATAGAGACCTGCTAAGAAATCGTGATAATGTTATATCAGAACTAGAAAATAGTGAGACTTGGAGCTCAGATGATCGTGTTGGAGTGTTCTTTGATGGGTTATGCAAATATTCTCGATATAGCAAGTTTGAAACTCGGGGTGTGCTGAGGACTGGGGAGTTGAACAACACTTCAAATGTGATCTGTTCTCTGGGTTTTGATCGAGACGAGGATTATTTTGCTACAGCTGGTGTGTCAAAGAAAATTAAGATATTTGAGTTCAATTCCCTATTCAATGAATCTGTCGACATTCATTATCCAGCCGTGGAAATGCCAAATAGATCAAAGCTTAGCAGCGTTTGCTGGAACAACTATATTAGGAACTACCTAGCGTCCTCTGATTATGATGGTATTGTCAAGGTATTTGAACCTTTGAAGTTTTGTATAGAATTGTTATCACTTGATTGCTCTTTTATTCCCTCGGCCTAATGTAAATAAAATGTATTATGTTGGATCCAGTTATGGGATGTGACAACAGGACAGGCCATTTCACATTTCATAGAGCACGAGAAGAGGGCTTGGTCTGTTGACTTCTCTGAAGCTTGTCCGACAAAATTAGCCAGTGGAAGCGATGATTGTTCTGTGAAGTTATGGAACATCAACGAGGCATGTTCTTCTTTACCTTTCAATAAGATAGCACTTAGGGTTATTCGACCCTTGTAGCTAATACACAATCTACTTGCATGACTGTGCAGAGGAACTGCTTAGGAACAATCAGGAACATTGCAAACGTTTGCTGTGTGCAATTTTCTCCGCAGTCTTCTCATTTGCTAGCCTTTGGATCATCAGATTTCAGAACCTACTGCTATGATCTACGGAATTTAAGAACTCCTTGGTGCATACTGGCAGGACACAGCAAAGCAGTTAGCTACGCCAAGTTCTTGGATAATGATACCCTTGTCACTGCATCAACTGATAACACGTTAAAGCTTTGGGATCTTAAGAAAACCACTCACGGTGGCCTCTCCGTAAATGCTTGCAGCTTAACTTTTGGTGGCCATACAAACGAGAAGGTAACTAATACTAACATTTCAGTTTAAGTTAATCCTAATGATGTTTCTCTCTGTTCTTCGTGGTTGATTTGTCATTTTCCTTCCTTTATCAGAACTTTGTTGGTTTGTCTACTGCCGATGATGGATATATAGCTTGTGGCTCTGAGACAAATGAGGTATATAGTTTGATTCTAAACTCAATTAGTAGCTCCAGAATTTACCTGTTAAGAGATCTCTCTGATTGAGACAAATGGTGTTCTGTTTTTTGTTGGTTTTGTCTTTGCTCAGGTTTATGCATATCACCGGTCTCTTCCTATGCCCATTACCTCGTACAAGTTTGGATCAATTGATCCTATCTCAGGCAAGGAGATTGAGGAAGACAACAACCTATTTGTTTCAAGTGTTTGCTGGAGAAAAAGATCGAATATGGTTGTTTCAGCTAGCTCAAATGGGTCTATCAAAGTTCTAGAGTTGGTCTGAGATCATATTATAGAGAAGAAGCTGATTATTCTTCAGCTGAAGCCCCCTTGGTTTAGGGTGAAAACAAAAACCCCATCAACCCCAAGAGTCGGACATAACAATTCTTATTACAGCGCACAAGATATGTGATCAAGAGCTCAATCTAATGTACAGTGTTGGAGAGAGAGAGAAGCAGAAAGTGTTGGTTGACAGTTGCGTTTTGACCAAGCGGGGTTAGGGTTATACTGGCGATGAGTATACATAGTAAGGTATGACATTTTCTTGGTGGTGGTTGCTCTGTGTTGTTATTTATTTATTTGCCTCCTATAGTAATGAAACAAGATCTCACTTTGTGATGTAAAGTTGCTCTCCCCTATAGACAATAGTCTCTGATGTATATATGAGCTAAATCTCCTTCACCAAGAAAAGGTCTTAAAATTATCTTTTTGTTTGTAATAATATATATGTTTTTGTTCCATAATCAAGAGTTCCCTCCAAATAATGGTGTCAAAATGAGTAATTTTAACAAGACTCGTTTATTATCGGACAAAAGTAATCTCCAAATGCATAATCACTTTATCAAGGTCTCTTGCTCTCTGAAGCTGCTCCATCTTCGTGGTTATGGCCATCGCTTGGTATCGAGAACTTTTTTACTTTCTGATAAAAACAACAGCAGAAAATGAATCAAACAAATGGTTCAACAAAATTACAATGGGAGAGTAAGACTTTGGATCAAACAGATTTCCATTAAAATTACCCTAGTGCCATGATTCATGAAATCAGTATTCATAATCACAAGATTTTTGTTCAAACATGAGGACAATCTTCAAAATTCACTAGACGATCAAGAACTAAAAATCTCTTTTAAGATCAAATGAATCACTATGATATGATATAGAAGATACTATCAACCACACTGCCCATAAGATTGAACTTGATCATTCAAGGCTAAAACAGATCAAGCAATCACTCACACATGTTCCTCCATCAACTTTTCAATTTCTTAAAAGGAGAATGCACAGTTCCTTCTCTCTTGACAATTCCATTTTCTTATATCAATTAATTACTAGAGATCAAGCATCATAAAAGGACAGCTTATAGCTAACAATTTAGGAAACTTGAATCTCAAACACTCAAATGACAATTTCATCAATCTACAATCGCAAGCCACCATAGAATTTTCTAATAATTCAAAAAATTGTTCATTTGGCTTAAACGCAAGATAAAAAATGATAATTGTAAATTTGGAAACTTTGGAGAGAAGAAAAACCCAACCTTGGAGAGAACACATTCTCTGAGAGACTGCAAGAGACGCATGCACTTCTCTTGATCAAACGGCGATTCCGAAACGCAGTTTAGAAGATTCACAGCTTCTTGGCCGCAAATTGGTTGAGGAAGCTTTTTCTCCATTGTAAAAAAACCAATTACTAAACCCTAAAATTAAGGGTTTCTGCAAAAAATAACCGAACGGAGAAGAAGAGAAGAACTATACTCTGAGTCTTAAAGTCACGGGACGGTGACCGACAGGAATGAAAGCAGGCCACGTGTCTAATGGGCCTTACTAAAGGCCCATTATTGTTCTCACTGAACGTTACAGACATGGACCTATCTATCACATTTCAAACGTCATCGAACTCTCGGCGTCAAGGTTTAAGCATCGCCACCGCTGAGATCGCTGCTTAGTTCGTCTCCTCCGATATCACTGTAACCAAAACAACCTCTCATCGCCGACTTCTCAAGCTTCCAATTCTCCGGGTATGCTCGAATTTTGATCTCTTCGATCTCGTATCATTTCAGTCTGTTTCTAATCAAGTTAATCTCTGAAAATTTCTGGAATTTATCACGATTTGATCTTGTTCTATTGTTCTACTTCTTAAATACCGATGCTATATAGTTTTACTTTTGGGAATTACATCCTTAGTATTTTTTCCAGCAGTTTTGTTATGTAGCTCACTATAGAGGAAGCATAAGATCTGAACTTGTTGCCTTTTGTTCTCTGATGCTTTCTGCAAAATGATAGATTTTTTTTATTGCCAAATCAAAATTTTGTACTTCAGCTCAGTTTTAAAAATGAATACTTTTTTGTTGAAATTGAAAACATTATTGATTCTGAGTTTCATCAAGTTTACTGAGATTAGCAGTGAAACTCATTTTCAGTCGACTTTGTTCTCATGTGATTTCAGTTTTAGGTTGCAAAAATGGCGTTTGCAAGGGCGGCAAGAAGACCTGTTGGAGTCTTTATAGAAACTGCTAGAAGTAGATTTAGCTGTAGAAATGAGTACTCTACAGTGGCAAGCAAATTGGAAAGTCTGTCTCAGTTCAGGAGCTCTGTATTGGCCGGAAACGCAAGCCCCGTTTTTGGTTATGGGAAGTTCTTGCGGAGTTTTAGCTCGGAGGCTCCTGCTGTAGACCAAATGAGCCTCATCAAGCAACTGAGGCAAAGAACTAGTGCTCCCATTAAAGATGTCAAGGCTTCTCTAGTTGAATGCAATTGGGATCTTGGTAAGAATTAGTTGAAGTTTTTGCAGCACTTTCTTTCGGTTCGATGTGATATAATATGGGTGTTGTTTTCGATTTGACACAGAGGCTGCTCAGAAGGATTTGAGAAAGAGAGGAAAAGTTTTGGCTTCGAAAAAGTCATCGCGGACAGCTGCAGAGGGAATGCTCGCTGTTGCCCAAAACGAAGGGAAAATTGCTGTTATTGAACTAAACTGCGAGACAGACTTTGTTGCTAGAAACGACATTTTCCAGTACTTGGTTAGTGCCATAGAAATTTCGCATGCGTTTCTTTAATGTTTCTGAATAATAAGCGTTCTTTCTCTTATAGAATCATTATGTCTGCAGGCATTAGCTATGGCAAAACGTGCTTTGCTGGTTGAGAATAGTTCTCAGCAAGTTTCCGGTGTCTTCCCCTTTGGGCCTGAGATTTTTGAGGTCAGTTGTTTGATGAACTCACTTGTTTTCTCTTATGTTCATAACATCTTAGACCTATGTTGTTGTTTTCTGTTTCCACCATCTGTGATATTAATGTCAAGTTTTCATTTCTATTCAGGAGTTGAAGCTCGATCTTGATCATCCTAAAGTGAATGGTGAAACCACGGTTTCAAACGCTGTCACAGAAGTAGCTGCGATAATGGGAGAGAATGTGAAATTCAGGAGAGGTTTCTTGCTGTCTAAATCCTCAGCAGGCGTCCTTTCTGCATACCTCCACACAAGTCCCCAACCAGGTACAAAACTGTTCAATACTCCCGTTGTCTTTAATGTATATCTACGCATCTCTAACTTACTTTTTTGTGTGTTATGAACATAATAGGGTTGGGTCGTATAGCTGGGATTGTATCTCTAGAGGTAGAAGGTGAAAACACTCAGCTAGAGGCTATTCAGCGTGTAGGCTCAGAACTGGCCATGCATGTTGTAGCAGCAAAGCCTCTGTTTTTAAGCAAAGACCTTGTTTCCTCAGAAGCCATAGCAAACGAACGCGAGATTCTAAAGTCTCAGGTCACTCTCTCACTTCTATTCCCTAAAAACCTCTCTGCTTTGTTATGAATTGTCTTATCAAATGTGGTGGCATGTGACAGGCAGAAAGTACAGCCAAGTCTCAGATGGCTGTAGAGAAGATGGTGGAAGGCCGTCTCCGTAAATACTTTGAAGAAGTTGCTTTAATGGAGCAAAAGTTCATTGTCAACGACGCTATAAACATCAAGGTATGGTGAAATTAGCCTTTTATACTGTTATGATTGTCTCTGCATCCTTGTTTAACGGAGCTTTTGGGTTCGTTTTCCACAGACATTGGTGGATAATTTGTCCAAGGAGGTTGGTTCACCGGTGAAGGTTACAAATTTTCTGAGAGTCGAGGTTGGGGAAGGAATCGAAAGGTAAATGATATCAACAGTGGCTCGTATATGTTATGCATAAGATTAGTGAGTTTTATGAATTGAATGTCTGTATTTTGTTTTGTGAAGGCTTGAAGCAGCATCTGATGAACCGGTTGCACAAACTGCTTGAAGATGATCCAAAAGGACAAAATTTTAGTTACTTCAGCCGCTGCTTGGTCATGATAGTGTGAATTTTTGTTGTTTTTTTTTTGTTGTTTTACCACCATTCGCAAAACATCGCATTTCACTTAATAAAATAACTGTAAACTCTGAATCTACTATAATGAAAACTCTTTGCCAAAAAATGTCTAAGATTAGAGACTGAAGGTATTGTTTATCACTCTTTTTCCCCTTCATTATTGCGAGACATTCGAAATTTGTAGGAGAGATCATAACAAATAACCAAAAGGTCCAAAACGGTGAGATGTTTGGTTAAACTAGATTTTTGATTTGTATTATTTGCAAATGATTGTAAAGCTGAAAAAAAAAGTTGTTTTTTTTTTAAATCCAGTGTTATTGAACTTGTGATTTTAAAATCCATTTGAGTCTAACCACTGTGGATAAAACTACATTTGCCTCTGGAGTCAAATGGTTCCTCTCTTGAATGCCGTTGATCTAGGGACAGAGCTTCCATATGAGATCCTCTTCCAACTCAATTCGCTGGTTCACGCAGTCTTTTCGCCGCTTCGGATACGAAATTGATCAACGTCCTTTTTGGTTTGAGCTTGGAAACGGCATTGGCGATCTTAAAGAAACTTCACCAGCAAAGCTCTAAATGTTACGATCCTGTCTCATTTGTCAAGACTCAGTCGCAGGCCGCGGTTAAGAAGATGGCGTCGTTGATGGTATAGAGACAGCGAAAGCTCACAGAGACATGTATGGTGAGAAACTGAGCTCGTTGATGAACTACTACGGCGCTGCTAACGAAGAGGAGATTCTCACAGGCATTTTGAAAACCAAGGAGATGTATCTTCAGAGAGATAACCGGAGGTACGGTGACATGAAGGATAGGATTACATTGTCTGTGAAGGATTTGCAGAGAGAGGCCATGGGATGGTTCGACAAGAGCTGTGGAGATGAGCAAGAGAGGAAGAAGCCAGCGTCGGCTTGGTAGTATGTGACATACAACCCGAGCCATGGCGATGAGAAGTTGTGATTGTTGAGGTTTCCGTGGATTGTAGGTGACGTTTTGCTGGGGATAGAGGCTGAGAATGCACAGAGGGAGAGAAACAGAGGAAATGGTGATTGCGTGAAGAGCAAGCAATTGATCTATTTGATTACCTTAATAACTTGTAGCCTGTAGGTGTAGTACATATTTGCTCACGAAGGGAAATGTGTATTTACATTGATCAAGTATATGGAGCAACTCGTGTCCCAAATTGATAATGCTCGAGATACTGAAAAACTTGAAGGTTTCTTACTTGTTCTATTGCAATGGCCAATTTGATTCCAGTGATGTGCTAGTGTTGAAGCTGATAACTGTTGTGTTTTGTTTACAAGAAGATTTTATTACTTACTAGTCAGAGATTATGAGTAATATCCCCTATGCGTATGCGTTTGTGTGTCCAGAAAATATTTTGATTTCCTTGTTGTTGCTGAAAGTGAAATATGAGCTTTCCAAATATTGTTACTGTTCCTTTTCTTATAAAATATTGATATCCTATTTGCAATTATATCCACAGTTTATCAATCTAAAACAAACTGCTAAACATCTAAAGACTTCTCCAAGCTCCTAGGAGACATTCTTGCTGAGACATTTTTATAAGTATGAGAGATCATAACAAAATTTGGACCAATAATGAAAACGGTGAAATATTTTGGTAAACTAGATTTTTGATATGCATTATTTGCAAATAATACTAAAGGGCGGAAAAAATTTCTTCTGTTTTTGTGTTAAAACTTAAAACAAATTGTGAATTAAAGCATAAACCATTCTGATTTTCGTACGAAAAACAAGTAAAAAATATACAGTAATAAGGGGATTTTTTTTAAAATTTCTCCAATAATGATGAATTCCAGTGTATTTGTCAAGAGATTTGATTTTACATTCATGCTTAAAGAGCATTTGCAAAAAACAAATATTATTGACTATAACACATGTTTTAATGAGGATTCGTCATTAGTTTTTGAAAATAAAAAACTTAGATGATCATAGAATGGTGATGGCGTTCTCTCTTGTAGCTTGTGGCACTATACCTTTTTTTTTTTCGTTTTTGAAATCCTGAGATTTCATGGAGAGGGAGGCAATTCACCAATATGCCAATAAGATCAATTTTGTGCTTCTGCCAAAGTTTGTGACAAACCATTCTTTTATACAACAAAATTTGAGTTCTCTACCCACTTAACCTTATAGATTGTGCTTGTTTGTGAGTGTCTGACTTTAGTTTTGAACATAATTATCAAAATCAGAAGATTTTTCAAACTTAATTCATCACTTAGCTTTACATATCAATATGAAAGTATTTCAATTTTAATTGTAGATGATGACTCTTGGTTACCTCCATAAACCCCAACAATTTCAGTCCGGTTAACTAAAAAAGAAAATACCAACGGTCGAATTGACGGTTTATATCGTACATACGAAACTGGTCTGGTCATAGATTGAGTAACCACAATCAACGGCTAAAATCAAATCCGATATGACCGCACGGTCCATTTATAAGCCGTATGGAGCTTCGATATACTTACTAGAAAGCACCTAATAAAAAGGTTTTGTGCAAAACAACCCTCAAACTAAATTCATTTTGCAAATCAAACCCTCAATTTAAAGTTGTGCAAATCAAACCTCTGAAGTCAAAATAACCCCGCAATATAAGACATCTCTATATTTGTGACAAATTTAAAATGATTTTATGCAAAACAACCCGCAAACTATTTTTTATGTGCAAATCTAACCCTCAACTTAAAAATATGCAAGTCAAACCTGCAAAATCGAAAGTCACTGCTAAAATGGACTTATATGTATTTGTCCTTAACTACAAACGTTGACTCAAAACGTCATGACATTAATAATATTTTAACCATTTTTATTAAAAGTAAATTAAAAAAAAACAAAAACAAAAAACTTTAATCTTTAATTTCCTTTCTCTTTCTCCTCTTATTAATAAATTTATCTCGAGTAATCTTATCGCGAATAAGTTGATTCTTTTCTTCATGATCTCATTAACTAATGACGACGAAGAGACAAAGATAAGAACTAATTTACTTGCAATAGAATTATTCGAGAGAGGCTCATAAAGACATAGGACTTCAGATCTTCCAAGTAACTATATTGTGAGTAAGTTGGTTCGGTTTTGATTTTCTGGATTGGCTACGGTTTAGTTTTTTTGGATTTGGTTAAAAATCCTAACCCTCTCCTTATTGATGGAGAAAAAAGAGAAGAAATATTGAATTATTGTTTTAAGTATTTTTAATAAAAATTGTTAAAATATTATAAATGTCATGACGTTTTGAGTCAACGTTTGTAGTTATGGACAAATACATATAAGTTCATTTTAGCAGTGACTTTCGACTTTGCAGGTTTGACTTGCATATTTTTTAAGTTGAAGGTTAGATTTGCACACAAAAAATAGTTCGCGAGTTGTTTTGCATAAAATCATTTTAAATTTTGTCACAAATATAGAGATGTCTTATATTGCGGGGTTATTTTGACTTCAGAGGTTTGATTTGCACAACTTTAAATTGAGGGTTTGATTTGCAAAATGAATTTAGTTTGAGGGTTGTTTTGCACAAAACCCTAATAAAAACCAATTCTCTCTCTGGTAGCTTTTTGATTTTCGGAAAAAGCAAACTTTTTTATTCCCTCTCTGCTCACTTTTACTCTTTTGATCGTCCCTTTAACACACTCTCTACACACTCTCTCTCTCCCTCTTACCGTCAATCATGGTTTCCGAGACGACGCGATCGACTGTTAAACTCACCAACGTTCCTCAAACCATAGTCGCCGACGAACTCCTCCGGTTCCTAGAGCTCCACCTCGGCGTAGACACAGTATTCGCCCTCGAAATCCCAACATCTCGCGACAATTGGAAGCCACGAGACTTCGCGCTCGTGCAATTCACTTCACTCGAGGTCAAATCTCGCGCTCAGCTTCTCTCTTCCCAGAACAAGCTCCTCTTCAAAACCCATAACCTAAGAATCTCCGAAGCCTACGACGACATCATCCCTCGCCCTGTAGATCCGAGGAAAAGAATCGACGGCGTCGTTTTGACTGTTGGGTTTCCTGAAGCCGACGAATTGAGGCTTTGTGCCCTAGAAAAATGGGAAGGCGTGAGATGTTGGATTATAGAGGAGAAGAGGAGAGTTGAGTTTTGGGTTTGGGAAAACGGTGAATGTTACAAAGTCGAAGTTAGGTTTGAGGACATCGTTGAAACTGTTAGCTGCTGCATCAATGGCGTCTCTGAGCTCAATGCATTTCTTCTCAAGGTAAAATTTTTTACTCAATTTCCCCAAAAAGATTGTTAATTTGATGCCCATAATGTGTTTGTGACAATGCGCATGTAAAATTGAGATCCTTGTGTTGTTCAGAACCTTGAATAATAGATTGCTTGTGTGTATCTGAGTCTTGTGATGAGTTTATCCTTGTTCGTTGCTGCTGATTTTCAATAGATTTTATATTGTTTTGGTATGTTAAGTCTCTCTTCTGATTTTGTTTGGTTTTATTTACAGCTGAAATATGGACCGAAGATATATAAAAGAGTATCAGGACCTCACATATCCGCAAAGATTAAATCTGATCGGTACCATTTCTGCAAGGAGGATTTTGATTTCATATGGATTCGCACTACTGATTTCTCAGGTTTGAAATCAATAGGGACATCTTCTTGCTTTTTCTTGGAAGTCCACCAAGGTTCAACAATGTCAGACGTTTTCTCATGCTTACCTTACTACAGAGACGACACTTTGAGTCTAACCACTGTGGGTAAAACTACATTTGCCTCTGGATGTCAAATTGTTCCTCTCTTGAATGCTGCTGATCTAGGGACAGAGCTTCCTTATGAGATCCTTTTCCAACTCAATTCGCTTGTTCACGCTCAGAAGATCAGTCTTTTCGCCGCTTCGGATATGGAATTGATCAACGTCCTTTGTGGTTTGAGCTTGGAAACGGCATTGGCGATCTTAAAGAAACTT